CTGTTGTGCGAATCATGAAGATCTTTGGCTAAACGTTTTAACATCAACGTGTAAACCTGATTCCAATCAGTATCTGTCGGGGTGGCCATGTTCTCTTCCAAAGAAGTGCAGGAAAAACTGGCTACGACAGAATGCACAAACAGTTGAGAAAACATTGGATGAGGAACTTCCAAAATGGTTTCCCCAGCAATGAAAAAGGAGATCAAAGTTGCTGGAAGTTTCGAATTATGGAAATAAGTACTTTGAACAGGAACACCATCATAATCATGCTGTCGAACGGCAGAACTCAACTGAGCCCCTGCAGAAGTTGGCGATGTCGATCGTAGTTGAGAACTATAGGGCCCCGACTGGTTGTCCACTGTCTGCCTTCTCCGCGTAGGCATTGAATCACATTGATTGGGTCCCGGGCCAGAAATTGAGTGTCCGACCGTAGACGAAGTTCCCACCCGAAAAGTGCAGGGTTCCGGACCAGAAACATCCGTTTGTGGACCCCGACATGGTTGGTACACAGATAAACAGGAACATGGTGAGTTCATCAGTGTTGGATTTACCGTCATCATCATTTGTTGAAAATTCTACATATTTTGTTGCATTTCAGCCTGTCGTTCAGCATCGAAAATCTGACCCATAATAGGAACTAGCTGATCAGATGTAGCAGCTTCTACGCGGTATTGTCCAAATCGTCCAACAATGTTCAGCGACACCCCCGATGTTTTTGGAAAAGCTGATGATCCTCTCTCTTGAATATTCTGAACATTTGCAACAGGATGATGAGGAGGAGGAGGCAAAGGTGTAGATCGAACTGGGATCTGTCCAGTAGAAAATGCTTCAGAAGACGGCAAGGGTGGACCACGACTCTTAGCAAAACTGGCACCAATGAGAGTCGAAATTTGAAAATTGAAAAATTGAACAATGAAGGTATCCTTATGAGTTGAAACACAAAAGATGGCTGAGAGTCGGACCAAAAAGGGACCAAAAGCACTTGAATTGCACCCGTGGTGCTGGTAACTTCGACTTATGTCTGCTTTGTCCGAACTGGACGAAGACTTCTGCCTTATGGCTACTTCGCCTTATGGCTGCTTCGATTGGATTTTACAGTGTAAAATCTTGACTCCGTCATATGACGCTTGAAATGCACTCGAAGTGCATACGGCGTCGGAGATTCATACTCCACTCGGAATACGGGAAAATGCCCGCTCATGACTTTTTGATTGGTCGAAACCAACCGACGGTGCGACCAAGTTAGGTCAAACACCCAGGACACACTGTGGGGTAATGGCCAGTAAAAGGTGTGAATGATGTCATAGTCTTCGCCTGATTTCCTGAGTTGCCTGGCAGTAGAATTTCAGCGGACACAGATTCACGATCGAAGAAACAACGCACAGCTCATAAACAAGAACAGAAAGTTAACAGTTGAAACTATAGCAGGTACGTAGATCAGGCGTCCCTGATCTATATCCTTACCACATGTCACCCAGCTTCGTTGGCAGAGGAAGTGACATGGGTACCTCTGCCCCCTGCTTTTTAGAATAGTACAAGAGCAATGAAAAGAACTAAAACCGTTTGTTATAACGGTGTACACACACACACACGCACACACACACACCACACACACACACATGTACTATAATACATGTATATATATATATTATATAATAACACACACATATATATATATATGTGTTTGTGTGTGTGGTCATGAAGTATATGATGAACATTTATGTCATTTATAGTTTTAATGTAAACAATGAGGTTTTATATCTTTATACCTCTTGAAAACATCGTTCCGAAGGTTGGGCTACTCATCTCAATGTCAATCGCAAGGTCAGCATGCCCTGGAAATCCCTGGAATGCACAACCCCCACATGGCGTCATCACAGAAATCACCTCTCAAGTCAGACGAAAACACATGGTTGGGGATATCTATGGTATATCTATGGTATATCTATGGGGTTTGCAGGAATTGTTCTATCCTGAAACAGTGCCAAGAGTTCAAACACGCTCAAAACATCTCAAAACGCGCAATTTCATGCAATTGCAAGCTTCTGCAGCGCAAAGTCGGAAGAAAAGATTTCTTTGCTCAACTTCTCACCTGTGATGATTTGATCAGAAACGATGAACTTGGGGGCTTCTGTATCTGTTGAAACTGAAACTTTAAAATCTTTACACTAGCTCTTTCAGCACAGTTCAATGAGGAACCTGCAAATGAGGTTGGAAACATGGCAGCTGGTCACCAAGGTGAGGCAGTCATGAACTTCCACACGTCACGAGTCAAGAACAGCCCAAGGGCCCAACCTAAGTAGTTCCAGTCCAGCTTCATCATGTTGTCATCCGACAGGGCGTCCTCAAAGCACATCACCATCACCACTTCCACGGCAGGAATTTGTTCGGAATTAGCTCTGCATTTTGCTCTGCATATGCTCTGTATGTCTGGTAGAATACATGATTTCCATACACTTCTGGTAGGAAAAGATGGGAAAAAATCAGAAAAATCATGAACAATCTCACTCTGTGCCAGGTCGGTTAGCCTCAGCCTCCCTGGACTTTGCAAGTGGTTTTCTGCTTCCGAGCATCAAGGATGGCCTCACGTTTGAAATAGGCTCCGCCACAAAGCCCTGATGACATGCTTCGCCTGGGACCCACAGTTTGACCATGATCTACGAAAGGATCCGTATATCATTGTATATCGCATATATAAATGCATAATCATCTAATCTATCTATCTATCTATCTGTCCGTCTGTCTGTCTGTCTGTCTATCCATCCATCCATCCATCTATCCATCTATCCATCTGTCCATCTATCCATCTAATCCATCCATCTAATCTATCCATCAAATCTATCCATCAAATCTATCCATCTAATCTATCCTATCTATCCTACCTATCCTATCTATCCATCTATCCATCCTATCTATCTATCCTATCTATCCTACCTATCCTACCCATCCTACCTCTCCTATCTATCCTATCTATCCTATCCATCATCCTCTCTATCCTATCTATCCTACCTATCCTATCTATCCTATCTATCCTATATATCCTATCTATCCTATCTATCCTATCTATCCTATCTATCCTATCTATCCTATCTATCCATCCTATCTATCTACCCTATCTCGCCTACCTATCCTGTCTATCCTGTCTATCCTACCTATCCTACCTATCCTACCTATCCTACCTATCCTATCTATCCTATCTATCCTATCCATCATCCTCTCTATCCTCTCTATCCTATCTATCCTATCTATCCTATCTATCCTATCTATCCTATCCATCCTATCTATCTTACCTATCCTACCTATCCGATCTATCCTCTCTATCCTCTCTATCCTATCTATCAAATCGATCTAATCGATCTAATGTATCTAATGAATCTAATGTATCTAATCTATCCATCTATCAAATCTATCAAATCTATCCGATCTATCCTATCTATCCGATCTATCCTGTCCTATCTATCTATCTATCTATCTGTCAATCCTTCGATCTTCGATCTATCGATCGATTGATCTATCGATCCATCTATCGATCGATCGATCTATCTATCGATCTATCTATCCTATCTATCCTATCTATCCTACCTATCCTATCTATCCTATATATCCTATCTATCCTATCTATCCTATCCTATCTATCCTATCCATCCTATCTATCTACCCTATATCCTACCTTTCCGATCTATCCTATCTATCCTATCTACAGTATCCTCTCTATCCTATCTATCCTATCTATCAAATCGATCTAATCGATCTAATCTATCTAATGTATCTACTGAATCTACTGAATCTACTGAATCTAATCTATCTAATCTATCTAATCTATCTATTATATCTATTCTATCTATCTATTCTATTCTAGTCTATTCTATTCTATTCTATCCATCTATCTATCAAATCTATCAAATCTATCCTATCTATCCTATCTATCCTATCTATCCTATCTATCTTTCTATCTATCTATATATCCATCTATCGGTCGATCGGTCGATCGATTGATCGATCTATCGATCTATCTATCCTTCCTATCCTTCCTATCCTTCCTGTCCTTCCTATCTATCCTATCTATCCTGTCTATCCTTTCATATCCTTTCTATCCTATCTATCCTATCCTATCGTATCCTATCCTATCCTATCGTATCCTATCCTATCCTATCGTATCCTATCCTATCGTATCCTATGTATCTATCGATCGATCGATCGATCTATCGATCTATCGATCGATCTATCGATCTATCGATCTATCCATCTATCGGTCGATCGGTCGATCGATCGATCTTTCTATCTGTATCTATCCTTCATATCCTTCATATCCTTCCTATCCTTCCTATCCTTCCTATCCTTCCTATCCTTCCTATCCTTCCTATCCTTCCTATCCTTCCTATCTATCCTATCTATCCTATCTATCCTATCTATCCTGTCTATCCTATCTATATCTATCTATCCTATCTATCCTATCCTATCGTATCCTTTCTATCTATCTATCTATCCATCTATCTATCTACCTATCTACCTACCTATCTACCTATCTACCTATCTACCTATCTACCTATCTATCTATCGAGCTACCGATCTATCGATCTATCGATCTATCGATCTATCTATCTATCTATGCGGTATATACCAAAGGATCCACCACAAAGGCAGCACACAGTTCGTGAGTTTCAAATTCTGCAGGATCCAGGCAACCGCACGAAGACCATTTGAAGCCAGGAACACGCTTCTGAGCCATTTTTTCCTGAGCAGAAGGCTTTTGGACATACTCCGTCCGCGCCAAACAAGTGCTCTCAGTGTTTCACATTGATACTGTACAGTGGAAATTTTAACCCTCGCTTCAATACAGACTCACACTGTAAACGTATATCACCGGGAACTGTTTTCCAGTGTCCAAACCATCGACAAGTTTGGGAATGAACAAACGATGTATTCATGAAGATTGCAGAGCTCTTTTTATCGTCCTGCCTCAAACGCCACAAATTGCACTAGTGGTCTGAGTCTGCAGCAACATACTTCACCAATCCAAATGACCGTCCCGTCCTTGATGCCACAGACGTGCACCAAAAGTGTGCAAAGTCTTGTGCACCCTGACATTCAAATTAAATTCTTGGCATGACTCATCTTCAAACGTATGGAAAGTGCCAGTGCGGAGTGTCTGCCTCTGACTTTGAAGCCGAGCCAGCAAGGATGACAATAATTCACACTTCCCTTGCAGCTTAATTAGCTAGCAGCTCAATCCACGGCTTATTGCACACAAGTAACACAAGCAGACCGCCCACGTCCGCTGGTGGTGGACGTTTAATGTAGTCGTGCCTGACGTGAGGCAACGTCATGAGCGCAGGAAACCAACGAACTACATAACATAGTCAAGCATCGGACTAAATAACTTTGCCATATGCTGTACTTTGCCAAGTGCGGCAAACTGCAAAACGTGGCAAAAACCCACTTCTTAATCTTCGAATTCGGATGAAAACAGAGCGAGGTGATCCATTATGATTCCAAGGGGCACGGTATTGTCCGGTTCCAACATGATGACGTACTTGGTGTTGAGGCCTTGTAATGATCCGCAAACCAAGGTGCTTTTGGGAAGGAATACAGCGTATGTATATATATATATAATATGTAAGAATATCTGAATATCACATCTTTGGGCACAACGTTGCTGCATATCGCAACTATCCGAAATTGCTGCAATGCTCACACAATCTCCCAAAGATCAATGGGTGATCAAACTGGTTCATTGAACATCGTCACGTGTTGCCTTGCCAAAAAGAAGGGCGTAAGCCCTTTTTTCTATCTTTCCAGGAATCAGATTGACTTTAAAAATTGGGTGATCTTCGATGATTTCCTGCCATTCCACTGGATGTTGAAACCTGTGAAAACATCTAAGGACACGTAAAAATGTAAACACAATATCTATCTGGAAAACGTTCATGATACCATCTGGTTATTTAACGTAGCCATGGAAAATCACCATTTTTAATAGGTAAACCATCTATAAATGGGCCATTTTCCATGGCTATGTTAAATAACCAGAGGGTACAGGCAAAACCACCAATAAAGTTGATTTGCTGACAGCTGCATCGAATAAACGTCTGAAGAAAGGCCATGGATGCCAGCGATCGTTCCTCAGGTTCGGACGAGTAATCAACACTGCAGAATCATTGATATCAAATGATACCAAATCCAATTACCCTTGATCAGTGGAGCCCACTACATACTATACAAATCTATAATTACCAGGTGATCAAGTTGTTCAAACGCTGTTGCTTTCAATCTTCCATGTTGCTGCCACATCCAGAGAGTGCGACTGAGAACAGCCGATCACCGTTTGCAGGTTGAGATCGGCATGTGTGTTTGTGATTGTTTCTGCGTATGCGTGCGTATGCTATTGCATCATATTGCATCATATTGCATCATATTGCATCATATTGCATCATATTGCATCATATTGCATCATATTGCATCATATTGAAGATACTCATCCAAGTCCCTGATTCTATGGCCGCTCTTTTCACAAATTCAAAACCCAGGTGCGCTGGTGGGCACAACACAAAAGTGCAGCCCTCCTGGCAGCGAGTCGTGTTGCGAGGTTGGTGAGGATAGAGAGGGAGGATGTCGACCATTTGTGAGGGATGTCAGGGTCACCTGTTTTACCCTCTGGTTATGTCAAAATAGCTATTGAAAATGGCCATTTATAGTGAGTTTTCCCATTAAAAATGGTGATTTTCCATAGTTATGTTAAATTACCAGAGGGTACTTGCTGCAACCCTGAGTTGCGTGTTGTGTCAACGCGACGCGTAAAAAAAATGACAACGGTGACGATCGTCTCATTGGTTTTTGGGATTTTCGAAAGTGATCATGTTGGCAGACCTTCGCACACAATGCGCTGAAGTCTAGGCCACCATCGCTCATCACGTAGATCCTGAACGCTGGACGCATGGACGCATGGCTAAAAATACTTTGGTTTCCTGCTTTGTACCATACCGCCCCGATCAGCAAAGACATGGCAAAACAAGATACAAACACTCTGTCCATCTGTCTAGGTAACTTCGCTAATCTTAGATATTCATCCAAATGCAGTATCTGCTTCAAGGGGCGGTGACATTGGGAAGAACTTCTTGACCTCTCGCACCTCTGATCGAGTTGCCGCTGACTGATAAAGTGAACATGGGTGAACATGTTGGATCATGTTGTTGGGGGTAGGGATGTTGGATGATATTGGATAGAAATGTGTCAATCTGTGCATATCTGGAAGCTTCAACAGTCAACAAATTGTAAACTGAATGAGAAAAAAACATGAAGAACCCTCTTGAAGGGGTCAGCTGAAATTTCAATCCAGTTTTGCCTGAAATTCGGTGTGATTTTTTTTTAAGATTTGAGGTTCAAATCCGGGAAGACTCAAAGCTGGAGACATACTGGCACATGTTGGAGCATTCATGTGTGGACTGAGAAAAAAGATCTTAGAACGCTGCCACTTTGTCAATGCATGGGGAAAAAACAGTTCCCAAAATTGTTGCAAACAGTGTGTTGTTTGAATTGTATGGTTGGAAACCCAATAGATAACAGAACTAGTCGCCGCTTGCTATTCCAGACTCCTGTCACCAAAATAAAGCAAATACATTTTGAAATTGTGTCATTACGTTTCCAACAGTGGTGATTGCCAGAGGGTTTGGGTAATTGTGCTATGTTCTTCCAAAATGTCTTGGAGTCTTGGAGTCTTGCAAGCCTTTTCCACACCATTCATTTCAATTGATACCAATCTTGATACCCTCTGGTAAACATACATAACTATGGAAAATCACCATTTTCAATGGGAAAATCCACTATAAATGGTCATTTTCAATAGCCAACTGTTGACATAACCAGAGGGTAAACCCCACAAGTTTGGCCAAAAGTGTCTAGGGCTATTGAATGGAGCAATGGAGCCAATATGTATATATGGCCCAGCGTTTGGGTCCCCCCCTCCCCCCAGAGATGGTGACGGTCCCTATATCTATATGTAAGTTATGTGTATTTACATTTAAATATATATGTGTATTATACTTGTAAGTTCATCCTGTAAGTTATATATATGTAAGTCTATATACATATATATATATATACATGGTGTATACGTATGTAGTATGTGTATGTGCAAATGTATACAGTATGTATAAGTATGTGTAATTATATGTGTATATATATGTATAAATTATATGTCTACGTATCCCTCCCCCCGCTGTGGATGTGGTGGGGTGGGGTGGGGTGGAGGGGTGGGAGGGTTGGGGGGGTACTCCCCCATACCATATGGGGTGGGGGGGCCGTGAACACGAGACGCGGGACTATATGTATGTGTATGTATGTATGTATGGATGGATGTATGGATGTATGTATGTATGGATGGATGAATGGATGGATGGATGGATGTATGTATGTATGTATGTATGTGTGTATGTGTGTATGTGTGTATGTGTGTATCTGTGTATGTGTGTATGTGTGTATGCGTGTATGCGTGTATGCGTGTATGCGTGTATGCGTGTATGCGTGTATGCGTGTATGCGTGTATGCGTGTATGCGTGTATGCGTGTATGCGTGTATGCGTGTATGCGTGTATGCGTGTATGCGTGTATGCGTGTATGCGTGTATGCGTGTATGCGTGTATGCGTGTATGCGTGTATGCGTGTATGCGTGTATGCGTGTATGCGTGTATGCGTGTATGCGTGTATGCGTGTATGCGTGTATGCGTGTATGCGTGTATGCGTGTATGCGTGTATGCGTGTATGCGTGTATGCGTGTATGCGTGTATGCGTGTATGCGTGTATGCGTGTATGCGTGTATGCGTGTATGCGTGTATGCGTGTATGCGTGTATGTATGTATGTATGTATGTATGTATGTATGTATGTATGTATGTATGTATGTATGTATGTATGTATGTGTTTAGATCAAGAAACGCAAATTCACAGTCGAGTCAAGGTATGTCCTTAGAAAGAAAAACCAAAAACATCGCCTCAACTTGCCTCAACCCTAAGATCGGGTCATTTTTGCAGCGATGTTTTTGAACAATCCCCAAGGGCCCCCTACGGAAACAAACAAATTTCAAGGGGCTGCAAGGAAATTCACGACTGCGAATTCTGGCGAACGCAACTGTTTGGTTGGAACTTCCATGCACTTCGCATTTCCCACAGGCGCAAACATTCTACAAGTAGTAAACGTACGACCTGTGCACCGGCATGAAACCCAACACCCCACACCAGGCCCTGGCCAAGAGGAAGCAAACAGTTTACCCAGGCATTGCGGTTGTGACAGGCTACTGACATGACGGCCAGAAAACTGCTAAGCATGATTCCGCTACAATCCTAATTGTTCTGGGGCAAAACTAGGAACATGGTCTTTATTTGCCCGTGGCTTATCTTAACATGTGTGGCGTTTCAGATTTTGTTCGAACCACAACTTCCAGGGTGATTTCATTTCTTTGAGGCGTGATGTAATGTATCAACGCAGTTCCATGGGGAAAAGATCTTTCAACTCGTAATTCGAAGGTGTTCTCTACGTAAAAACCTTGATTTGGGGACCCCCCAAATACTTTCGAAACGAACATATACGTCAGTTTTTCTTGCTTCTATAACAGCAGCTTCTCCAATTCATGCAAGAACTCCAACGGCGTCAGATTTTCATTTAAGCCAGTTTATATGAGCTTTGACGCCACCCCGACAATATGTAATTATATTCATTGGGGCCGAGCAATGCAAGCAGGAGTGACCTTCTTTGTTTTCTTTCAAAGAAAATGTAGGGAAAAACGCATTGTCTTTCCCAGGAGATACATATTTAACGCAGCAACAAGTCATAACAAGTCTAACGCAACAGCAGGTGCGTGTGCAAGCGCGAGGCAGCAAATGTCCAAAACGTAACGTACGTAATCGCGCAGGTGCACGGGATCAAATCTCTCAGGCACCAGTCTCTAACGTGTTTCATGACGTTCAAACGCAAGGAATGTTATTACACCATATTACACCCCTCACCCCACCAGCGAATACGATGAATACGTGCAACAGGTCGAAACTTCTGAGAAGAAGGAACCTAGCAGGCGAGACAGTGGTTGGGTGGTGCACCTGGGTTATATGAAGGCAATACCTTCTCCACGATTAAAAAACACATTTTTCTAAGACGTGTAAATTCCAAGGAAAAACACAAAATATTGACCTCAAAGGTGAAAAGTTGGACCCTTCAAATTTTCCGTTCGCTTTTTTCTTCTCCTTCCACCTTCATTCTTTTCCGCCCCATCAATTTTTGTGATTTTTGTTTGAACCCTTCAACTTTTGTGCCAATGTGTTTTCAATTCGTTCTCTTGGGTCAATTTTAATCGTTTAAACAACTTCAAGGGAGATCTGTCGCGAATCATCCCTCATCCCACTCCGTGGCATATGGCACCATATGGCACCTGGTAAATGACCGCAGCAGGATCACCATAGACATGCAAATAGAAACCGTACCTGCCGTGCGGTTTCGAGTTTCTCGGACACGTGACATATGTGACGTGGACCATGACAAAGCTGTCGCTTCATGATGTTCATGTAGTTTTCGTTGGGAATTGTGATAATTGTGGCAAAGAAGGGTTGTAAGGCCCGGCTGTCACTTGACTCACTTGACCCTGAACATCGGAATACTGTCAGGTCAAAGTTGATATTGGTTCCCTATAAACATCTACTTGGTTCAATTGTTTCTGTAGCCCACTGTCTCACAAACTCCCAATTTTTTCCACCAAGTTGATGGCTGTGACTGGCTTTGCCAGGTCTGCCTTCACCATCTCCAAAAAAAAAAAACATGTTGGGATGCTACCCATCCAGGAGGCTACCCGCAACGAGGCGTCCCCCCGACGGCTCAGCGTCTTGTTGTTCCCTTAGTGAAAATTATTTTGTGCCCACTCATCCTCATATGCTCCAACATATTTGGATACTACAACCGTACAGTACCTGCACATAGCCCTCGCAACTTGAGAGGAAAAGTCAAGGGGGACGCGTCGGGCACACATGTGCAAGTTCTGTCTGCTATGCAGCTGCCATCAAGGCATGAGAAGCCATACCTCGGCCCGGAAAAAAACAGAGCCAACATCCAAACAGGTCAGCTCTCAGACGATGCAAATGCGGTTTGGTTCTCTCTCGAAAAACCATCCTTTAATTTAAGCTGCGCGTCTATCCAAGCCTGGCTGTTTCATATCCACTTTACATCATAACTTTACAAATGTTTCAATGCACGGCAAGCTGCAAATATACTATGCTGAAAACTTCTAAAAGATGCTGAAGGGTGCGGAAAGTCAATGAAGTCCCCATGATCTTCCAATTCTATGCCAACCCTTCCCCAATACATTCTTTCGTGTTCAGCTGGATCGCAGGATGTGGCAGGGATGTACTCAAATATTCGTGTTACAGCCATATATATATATATATATCATTATCCTATTTTCCTGCAACTGGCAGTGGCTAGCATTGAGTGAATTGAGCTGTCAATTGATTTTGAATCTATTCCCCCAGAGACAACACCACAGACAAACACAACAGGAGCGCACAGCAGACCTGTTTTGAACATCTTGAGCCAAACAAGTCACGTGTTTGGCGGTTGACTTGGAAGGAAGGATGTCTATACATATGAAAGTACAGGGCATGTTTAACTGTAAACTTTCAAGTCCCCCCTCATACTGAACTGTACACGGTCAACTGTAAACTACAACTACAAACTACCGGAAGTTGATCAGGAATGAAGCTGGATGATCGTCTCATGGCTCAGACGTATTCCAGGCAAATGACGAATGAGTTCCATCACAGAGCCCCTTATGCCTGGCAATTACGATTACATGCACCTAACGGATGCTTAATTACCAATGCGTGAAATCCAACCGGATGCCGCGCAAGTATAATTACCGATGCACGGATGCAGGAGCGGCGCTGTCGCAGCCAACCTCCATTAGGCACGAATACAAGACTCGAAGATAAGACAATGAGAGTCCAATGACATATCCACAAGAAATGACTCACCAAAATCCAATGGGTGAAAAGTTCACAGATGAGACTTAGTCGCATCCATGCTGTGCTGACAGCGACTTGCCACACCCGGGTGGTGACAAATGGCAAAAGGTTGACACCTGAGAACTAACGGCGAATGACATCTTAGCACATCGTGCACAAGTCCAATGGAGGATGGCAAAGCACAAGCCCATTGAACTGACAAAATTGACAGATTAAACCTTACAGGCTTAGCCTAAATCGTTGAATGCTTAGCAGGGTCAACGAGTTTGAAGACAATGAAGTTCATGAATTGCCTCCATGATTGAAATCCTTAAGATTGACTTAACGCTGAAATTGACATGGCGCCCAATTGACTGACGAGTGCGAGAGCGGAAGAACGACAAGCACGCACTTGATGAAAGCTGCTTAGCAGATAAAGTCTAAAGACCATGCAACCATTGAGGCCTTGGCGAAATGTTGAAATGAGACGATGACAAACGAGACAGGTAAAAATCCAAAAGCGTCAAAGAGGATCGGCAAAGCACAAAACTCCAATCCAACTAGGCTCGGCACAGCACAAACTTCATTGGATCGATCGGCAATTGGAAGAAACAAGGCGCTGGAAAACCAGAAGCTGAACGCCTTCCACGAGAAAATCCAAAAGCAGCCAGGAGAATCGCCAAACCACAACACTCCTATTCCAACTAAGCTCGGCACAGCACAAACTTCATGGGATTTGCTGACAATTGGATGGATGAACCCCCCCTCATCCTCAGGAAGGTGAGGGAGCAGGCTCATGGAGATACTGGCATTTCTCTCCATGGACGCATCCGGTAGGCATCCTACGGAAGATGCACGCTATTTTGGCATTTTGCTCTGCTGTCATTGCTTTTCCCTTTCCCTTGGCTTTACCCTTTGGGGAGGTCTTCGATTCAGACGACGGAGCGATGGCAGCAGGCGCACTGGTGGGCTTGTCGGGCTGCAATTTCTTTGGCAAGCTGGACTTCAACAAGTTTTCAATTGATTGCGCATTGATGTCCTCTCTTTCTTCAAGCAAGTGTTCCTGCAACCTATTCCAAAGATGATCAAAATCACGGAGTGGCGACTGAGCATCGCTCCTCTTGATCTCATCAATGGTCCTTTTCAACTTGCGAACTTGCCTCAACTGATGAAACAACCACTCACCCATCATGCGCTGAGATGGCCAATCTTCCTGCGGCACACTATTCAAAGCGCGAAGGACACGACCTGAAAACTCTTGCAAATGCTTGGCACTGTAACCATCAAGCCCTATTTGAAAGATCGATTGCGAAGTAAGCAACGAACCACGAGCGCGATCAATGTCAAAATGCCTGGAAACAATCGACACTTTCAAACATGCCCACCCTCCCTGCCATTTTTCTCTGATGATTGCCATAAGTTTTAGATCTGGGTCCACAGAGGGGAATCCACCCCCTGGTGCCCAGCCTGGGTGTGACCGAATGTGTCCGCTCTGGAGGTGTGCCGCTCCAGTGCGTCCTGGCAGACAATTGAGACATTCTCAAATTTCCCCAGGGTTTTGTGGCGGGCGGGGTTTCAGAAATGTGCTCTCTTCTTGACCCAAAATGGCGATGAGAGCAAACCTCCTCCCACCGTCTGTTTCGCAGTGTCTCATTGTTCCTTACACACTACGTGTTTCAATCAACAATCGACACTTTCAAACATGCCCACCCTCCCTGCCATTTTTCTCTGATGATTGCCGTAAGTTTTAGATCTGGGTCCACAGAGGGGAATCCACCCCCTGGTGCCCAGCCTGGGTGTGACCGAATGTGTCCGCTCTGGAGGTGTGCCGCTCCAGTGCGTCCTGGCAGACAATTGAGACATTCTCAAATTTCCGTTATGGTCACAACTGGCTGTTGCAATCAAAGACTGAAAATCTGGCCGATTTTTCATGATTCGCTCTCTGACGTGTCGCTGCTGGAAGTTGAATCATGTTTGTCATGCCAGCATTTATCGCACCTTCTGGAGCTCGCAGAGGGAATATCCATGCTGCGTGTGAATTTGGAGAATGCAAATTTCCAACCGCACTTTGTTGTCCAACAATTCGGCAAATAGGCCATTCCGTCAGTATGTGACACGTGCCAGGTGCGTGAGGAAATGTTGTAAATAAACTCAGATGGGCGTGTGAGCATCTGTCTCCTGACCTGTATGATCTCGTCCTGGATCATCTGCCGAGTTCGGTGGTCAAGCGATCTGAGATCATTTTCTAGGATTCCAACGCGTTCTTCGAATTGTGCCTGGTCGGCCCCGGGTATCCTAGCAGCGTTGTCAAGCACATGCATCTGTGATTTGATCTGTTCCAACAAGTGTGAATTGTCAGAGTTGCTCCTAGCTTGTTCATATATTTGTGTGATTTTGCAGAGTGGCGCAGTCTGAGCATAATGCAACAGCATTGGTGACCGCCACCTCGCCATCAGCTCTACCTGATATAAATGAAGTCCTGAAGAGGACAGGAACCTGGCACCTGCCAGACGCATGCTGTGTCCGCCTAACAGCCTGGCACCATCTTCGTCCTGATAGGGGATATTGAGAAAATGATGCAACTGTTCGAAAGTTTCCACTACTCGAATTTTGTCAACAGTCGAGCCGTCCCGTTGTGGGAAAAAAGGGAGCTCTACGTTATTGTCAATCTCACCAAAGAGGAGTCTCAAGAATTCAGATTGCAACTTAGCTGAATGGTAAGGGCACCCGGTCGTGCCGTGAATGCTGCACAGGCAACCCCAGCTACGTTCCACGCTGGCGGCAGCTGGGTCAGTTTTGCTGCACGGCAACTTCAGCGTGACCGTCCGAGTGGCATCCTCCAGTCTGACATTCATGAACAAAAGCAGGGAAGCTTCGATCTCGCGCAACATGAAAAAGGTGCCGATGACAATCAAATTGTGTGCGCCCACGGGCCCACCTGTCACCAAGGGTTCGAGATTCACTTTGCGATCCTTCTGGTATTCGAGGACCCTATCAAAGTCAAGTGGAGATCTCTGAGAGACAGGTCCGCGTCCGCGGTTCACACTCCGGCCCGCCCTACGGGCTTCCATTGCCAAATCAACACCCCAATCACCAAACATCTGCACGTGGGCTTCTTTGGCCCGTGACATGTAATTGCTAAAGCTACGGTAGCCACATCTTTTGAACGCCGCCGCCACTCTGGCTATTTTGTCAGGTGTCAAAGGATACGTTGGAATCTCAGGGTCGTGCATTCGGCGATGCATAGATTCCCAAGTTTTGAGGACCGAGCAAGCAGGCCCCTTAGCACTGTTCGCTATATAATCCCTTCTCAGCGAGGCAAGCGCCTCATCTCTCTGGCTTTCGGTCCATGTTGGCTCCTCAGGTTTCCTGGCTCTTCGGCTAAAATTGCAAACAGGAGTGTCCTTTCTTTCAGCCAACCAGGGACGAGCGGTAGGCTCCAGTCTAGTGACAGTTGCGGGCTTTCTCGATTCAGCGGCTGCACCGCAATCGACGGGAGCTACTACCGCCTTTGGCGAGCAAACGTCAGGCCCAGCCTGTTTGATTTGAGTGAGAGAGATCACAGGGAGGCCTACGTTTTTACGTTTCCTCGTCATCTTTGAGCAAAAGTTTCAATCAAGCCCAACATACTGCGGCGACACGGTTGGTGTGTGTGTGTGTGCCACTGTGGAATCAGCAGTTTTCATCACTATGCAGGGACATGGACCGAACGACATGCAGTTGCAAAAAAGGATCGTTTGATCAGTCAGTCAGTTGCAGTTCCGTAAGCAATGTCTGCAATCCGCAGTTTTGACCACTAGCAATGACATAGTACAAACGACATGCAAGTGCACAAGGATTGTCTGATCAGTCAGTCAGTTGCAGTTCCGTAAGCAAAGTCTGGGACGACACCCAGGCAAATCGTAAACTGTCATGTGCAGTCCTTGCCTGTGCTGACTGGCCCTTCTCCTGAGCGGCAAGCAAATAAGCCAACATGCTGGAAATGCAACAACGCGTATAACTATATACTACTCGAATAATGGAGGAAGGAGAATATACGCGTCAGAAGAGGAGATGATGCACTACATGTGTGATTTCCTCTGCGGAGCGGGGACCACGCTCAGATGCACGAGCGGGTGACCGCGCTCGAAATAACTGTGAAAGGCTGGTGGTGTCACAGTACATTGGCAGGTGATCAAGCAAATAAAATAAAATTTGGCATTCGGTCAGGTTTTCCTTTGAAACTGGGTCTTTGCCCTACAGTCACTGCTTTGCGGCCATGCCTTCTTCTCACGTTCGTTCCGCAGTCACGCAATGGGCCCCATCTTTGTGCTGTGCGTAGCGGCCCATGGCCGACTGGTAAAAGGCCAGGTTTCGGGCTGGTGGCTCATCTGCTCTGGCTCGCAGCAAAGGTGCAGGCAACGTTGTTTCTTTTCCTGGTTGGTGCTGTCGGCTCAGTGCATCAGCCCAATCATTAGTGAGGCCTGGGATGTGTTGGAAGATTCTAGGCTTGTAACTGGCCGATCCAAATTCCAATGCGAGTTCCCTCGCGACAATGCCGAGCCCCTTGGACTTGTAGCTCGGACGCAGTTTCACCAAAAGTGTGAGTGTGGCAACGTTGTCGCTTCTGATTCGCAAAGAAATGCCAGACTTTGACCAGTATTTGCGCCACATCTTAAGCGCAACCAAGACTGCCAGAGCCTCCAACACTTGCTGTCCAGCGGCATCGCCGATGGGGATTCCAAGGATGTGTTCGTCATCCTTTGTCACTGGGCTACTAAAGTAGGCCACCACTGAGTTCTGAATCATGAGGTAGCCGCCGAGGCCCCAGGGTGAGGCGTCGGTCACTATGGAAACTTGCAGCCCTCTCCCAAAGTATGCTTGCACCCGGTAAATTCGTTGCACTACACCTTGCTCTCGATTGAAAAAGGCCATGAGCCAGTGTGTGACGTGCTGCCATTGCCTAGTCCAGTAGCAATTTGTTGGTGCCTTGCTGTTCATGGTGCAATGCAGGACGCCGTAGAGGTCCGACAGGAAGGGCCGCAAGAATTCAACAATGCCCGCCACGTGGTTGAGTTTGCCGATGTAAGTCTGCAGTGCCTTACGATTCACCAAGTTGACCTTGGTGTGATCATCGGTGGCAGCTTTGACTTCCGCAAGGATGTCGGGTTTGGCACTGGCTATGAGGTGAGCATCATGTTGGCCCTGGTTTTGCAGCTGTAATTCAGCTCCAATCCAGACTACGTCGGTGCCCCTTGCTGCCTTCTTGTAGGCCAGCCTGATTCCCAGTGTAGCCCAAAACAGGATTGTGGCTGCCATGAGATGGGAGCGCTCCTCATCTGTGCCACGAACACATACACAGGGGTCGTCCACGTACAGTTGAAGCCGCAGGCGTTGATCTCCAAAGGTTGCTTGGGTGATGCGCGCAATCAGCGCAGCCACCCGTCCACACACCAAGGGGGCGTTTTTGCTGCCTTGTGCTTGTGTGCGGAAGGCAACCCAGTGCTTGCCATACTGCCATGTGAAGTGTGGCCTTTCGCAAGGGTGTAATGGAACGTTGTAGAACCAGTCGCTGTAGTCAAGGATGAGCCATTCCACAGTGTCACCGTGGTCTGCGCTACATTGACTCATCAGATACAATGCATCGTCTATTGCATCCGATGTCCTTGGTCGTTGCAGCTTGCCTCCACTAACTGCCATTTTATTGACCCCGCTTTCCTTGCAATCCAGAATCAGTCTGCGCTTGACTTTACCGTCCTTCTCCTTGGTGATCATACCGAGTTTGGACAAATGCGGCTTGGCGCCTAGCCAATGCTCCAGTTCAGCGCATGTGGCAAATGACGTGACAAACCCAGTTTCGATCAAGCGCAGCACTTCAGGGGCAGCTGCATCGTCGTTGTCTACCGAGCTGTAATTTTGATGCAGGGTAGGGTCAGGCAGCAGCTGGTCGGCTGTCTGTTCCAAGTCATCTTGGCTGTCCGGTGGAAAAATGCCACCGGGATCTGTAATGCTCATGGATATGCCGGCTGGAGCTCCTTCCGTCAGCCAAGTGTAGATGGTGTCTGCGTCAGGATCACCCATGGTCCTCGCGATGTGCCATATCAGCCCGGCTTCTAGCTTACTGTCCAGCGATGCCATGGTCACCTCATCATGCTGCACAAACTCCCGCTTTAGTGCACTGAAGCAGGTAGCAAGCTGTGCTTCAGTGGGGCCAGCGCAGTCTGTGGTTGAACCTATGGCATCCAAGCAGCGCCTCTTCAGTGTGGAATCCTCATGTAGAAGCTTTGTGAGTACATTGTACACTCGCACACCTGCCTGCCGGTAGCCAGGTATCTCAGATGAAATCTTCCTTGGGCATCTCATGCCCCCCCAGTATTTCATGTCCAAGTCATCTCGGTCTTGAACTCTGCGACGCTTGCCTTTTAAGGGGGCAGTGAATTCCACTTTGGTGCGTGTGGTGATGTCGTTCTGCAGGAGAGGTTTCCTTTTGAGAACATTCTTCCACTTGCCAACCAATAAATATTCCGGCTGCTGACTCACGGGTCCTGCATGAGCCAAAGCACTGCCAAGCAGGAGGTCCGCAAGCATGCGATTCATCTGAGCAGGGTATGCTTGAGCTTCTGTCGTGAGATATGGTTGATTCCGGAACTTTTCCTGGATCTGCCTTGGTGTGAGCAGCATGTCCTGGTGCCAGTCTTGAGCAGGTATGTACCACTCTTTGCCTTTCAATGGTGGGTGCGGCGCCCAGAGGCGTTCTCCTGTGCTAGGTTTTACCCACTGCTGTGGTGGGTGCGAGCACTGATTTTGCAGGGCCTCCCCACCAATGTTGACCAGTACCAGCGTGGTTGGTTTCGTAGTCCTGGCCCCATACTCACATTGCACCAAGTCGGCAGTGCGTGCATGGGGTCTAGCCAACAAATCTGTATATTCATCCAGATTGTACATGGAGACACTGTTCACATCCTGTTTCCATCGTGGCTGTTCAACAACACATGGCTTTTCCAGCTCATCCATCGCTGTGGCTGCTTCAGCCGTGCGAACGGCCAGCAAGGTTCCAGTTCGCACCTTGATCTGGTCATCCGGCCGGAGGTGAGGCAACCCATATCGGTCGTCACCTGTAGCTCCCCTAAGAGGGCCAGGTCCCAATCCATCTAGTTGACGAGCATTGGTGTAGGTGTTGCAGGGTGGTCCTGCAAGCATTGCATCATACCTTCCAGCTCGGATGTCGGAGATCAGACTTTGCCAAACTGCATCATTCGCCAGATCTTGTTCTGTACCATTCACCAGGTCATATTCAACACACTTGTGGCCTCTGTCCCTGACTGCTGCTGCAAAGCCGTCTTCGCGTCCTGATGGCCCGCTAAAAAGGTGCAATATGCATTTGCATTCGTTGCTGTGAAACTGCTGGAGCCCGTGATCAGCTGCTGTTGTGCTGGTCATTGACTCACCTGTGCTATTCTGTAATTGCGGAGCCTCTGTCAGACAAGGTGTCATCGTCACTGTCTTCATTTGTGCTCCTGAATTCTCATGCAGTGCCGTGCTCTCCTTCAGTCACTTCTTGCCTTTGCTCTTGCCCTTGCCCTTTCCATGGTTTTGCCTCGGAGGTCGTGGTGGTCCATCCGAGGGGCATTTGCTGGCGCCATGGTGATCCGACAGGCACTTTGCACACTGGTGTCGTCGGGTGGAGTTCCTTGCGCACGCACCGCGCTGGTCTTTCTCCACACATTCGCCAGACTGAAACAACTTGCACAACTCAATGCCTCTGCGATTGTGAGTATATAGCCCATCTTCACCCACTTTGTGTTCGCGAACATCCGGCCCTCTTGGTCGCTTCGTGGACGTCCTGGAGGTGTCAGGTGTTCTTGCTGTAGTCGAAGTTGCAGAGAAGATGTTCTGGCCAGGCGGTGCTTTGGCAATAGGTGCATCATTGTCAAGTAACTGGTTGATGCTAGACGTCTTGGCCAGATACAACATGCAGGGTTCTGTAATTTCGCGGTTCCAGAAGTTGACATCAAGGGTCAACTCACCCCAGACCCATTCCCACGGTCTCGCGGGATCAAAGTCGTGACTCAGCCCGGCTCGTTGTGCTGTGTCAAAAGACTCCTGCCCACGTCGACGAACTCTCTCCACTTGTTCTTGTCTGGCCCTCACATCAGCTTGGTATATTATGGGCCAGCAAACACGCCCGTATCTTTCATGATATTGCCTGATGAGCTTCTCATACATATCCAACTTTGCAGGTGATATCTGTTCGAACATGATGGCTCCGGTTCGAAACACCATGTAGCATTCGCGCCAGCTCTCAAAATCGGCCGGCCCATACATCTCGATGGGAAGAATTTCACCAGCAGCGTTGAATCGCATGCCCTTCATCTTGATCTTCTTTTGAATGCGATGTTGAAACGGGCCCCAAACTGCCATGTCCGTGTAAGGTGCACGGTTTGATTTGAACAACGCATACAACGTGGAAAGCTGTTCTCCACTGAGTTCTTCATCATCTGGTGGGAATCCTCCCACTCGTTCCCTGTAGGTCTTGTAGGCCTGGGTGATAGCTACTTGGTCGAGGTTGTCAACCTCCTCGTCATCTGCTTGGTTTATCACCATGGCCATTTTGATCTTTCGAGCCCCCGAGCTACCGGCTGCTGGTGCCGGCGTAGCAGTGACTGGTGGTGCTGGTGGTGTAAGTTGTGCAGGCAAAATGCCGCACTTCCAGCGACATGTCCGTAGGAAAATTCCAACTTGACCTTGTTGGGCTATGGTAGGAGGTGCCGGAGCGTGAGGTGGTGCATCTGCTGGGATCATCCAAGTGGCTAACACTGCCTGAATGTCGGCAGGCGGCAACACGGCTACAATCCTTGGTGGCTCTGCTCCGTGCAGGCCTAGTAATCGAAAGAGTGACCCTCTCGGAGTTTGTGGATTGTCTCGTGCGCCATCAATGCCGGCCCACTGCGCAATGAGATCAATGTTCGTGAAAGTTGCTGCAGTGGCTTCATTAGGCTCCATGCAGTCAAACAGATGATATGCAGTAGCAAGGCACCACGCGGCAATAAATCCGCAGAGCAGAAAGGAGAAAATCCGGCAACGAGGGCCAGAGCCCAGAGTGGTCGACATGTCAGCCAGTTTCAGACATGTGCTCTCTTCTTGAGCCAAAATGGCGTGCTCTCTTCTTGACCCAAAATGGCGATGAGAGCAAACCTCCTCCCACCGTCTGTTTCGCAGTGTCTCATTGTTCCTTACACACTACGTGTTTCAATCAACAATGTGCAACAAGTATCTGTCCCTGGGCGGGTTTCCAATTCGAGTGCATCCTTCAATGTACCCCATGATCTTGAACTGCAACTCAGGCACATTCTCACAACCTTTTGAAATTTCAGCTGCCAACCAACGATCTAAACGCGGAACACAACCAGAATCATGCTTGATTACTTCATCGGAATTCACTTCATAAGCTTTGGAAAGCCAATGCGCTAAGTAATCCCTATCACTGATATCCAACTTTGCCATGATCAGCAACAACTGGTTTTTCCAAGCTCTGAAATCCGAAGCACTGGAAGGAACCGGACCTAATGTGGCATACCGAAGCGAACGAGCATCCACAATGTCCCTCTCAACTAGATCCCTGTGACTGGCAAAGCTTTGGGGCATGCGATCTCGAACTAATTCTTCATCGTCATCGTCAAAACCATCTCCGCCATCATTTGATGCAAACCCTGGCCCCCCTGATCCGGCAAGTGCTCGAAAAGAACGAGGTCTTGGAGGAAGACCAGAAGGCGGAAACGGAAAAGACACTGCCGCGCCATTATGGCTCTGAACTTGATCGACGTGAATCTCTTGAGCATCTTCAACCGCTGACATACGAGTCGAAAGATCTTGCAAAGCTTCCATCATGGATAGCAATTGCGCTGAAAGGCCGGAGGAGGTGGAGCATCAGACCTGACTTGATCAACTGGTTGAGCGGCGCTTCGTGCAGCCAAACTCATCTCCATATCTCGACAGCGTTGACGAAGGGACAGGTTCTGAGCTTGAGATTCTTCCAAAACCAAACGCTGGGAGTCGACCGAATCCTTCAGCTGGTGGATTTCATCCATCAGTCGTGAAATTTCGCCCTCTTTGTGGTCTAACATGCTGGCGGAGCATTCAACTCTGCTACCCAAGTCGTGATTCCAAGTAACTTGAAGCTCCAACTGAGCGCGAACATTGGCCACCTCTGAATTTAATTGATGGATCTGATTTTGAAATCTTTGATTTGATAGCTGAAGGCTCTCAACAACACCAAGCAACTCCTGAATACGTGAACAAGCCTGGCTGTACGCATCTTGAGCTAAGCCTTCCAACCCCTGGATTCTTTCATCATATTCCTGAACCACCCTCTTGGCCTCGGAGACCATGTTGGCAAAGTCCATGGGATCAACACCAACATTCACTTGCTGAGTGCGGTGATCATGATACTGGACCGTCTGTGAATGATGCATCCGGGCATCAGGCTGACCACTAGGCTCTTGGGGAATGAAAGTCGAAGGTTGGGAGGCCGATGCGGAACTATGCGCAAGAGGAACTGGTAACATGGCACGCTCATTATCTGATGGCTTTGGCAAGCGCTTGATAACTTGAGAAACTTTTCGAGGCTGATTCACGGTTGAAGCTTGTTTTGTTCTTGACGACCGTCCTCCTGATTTTGGAGTCCCGGATGAACTTCGGCTTCGAGATGAATGAACTGTGACTGCACCTCCCTTAACATCGATGGACTCGGATGACAGGTTCAAGGATGAGGAGTTTGGATCTGACATGATTCCTGTTCCAGCCTTTTACCAACAAAGATTCACAGGTCACGGCCGACGCAACGACATGTGTGCCAGGTTTAAGGCACCTGGCAACCTATGAAATGAAATCCCCAAAAACGGTCAAACAAGAGCAAATGCAGCTGATAACCAATTGATTTTGAATCTATTCCCCCAGAGACAACACCACAGACAAACACAACAGAAGCGCACAGCAGACCTGTTTTGAACATCTTGAGCCAAACAAGTCACGTGTTTGGCGGTTGACCTTGAAGGAAGGATGTCTATACATATGAAAGTACAGGGCATGTTTAACTGTAAACTTTCAAGTGTCACTGGCCGAATCTTTTGGTATCTTTCCATATCTTTCGACGGTTAGCAGTTTGACTTAAGATTGCCAGTAGTACGCGGACAAACCGAAGGCGAAAGCTTCAAAATTGAAACACTTATAGTCTATAGAGCGGAACAAAGACTCTGCCGGTAGGTTGCTGGCATGCCTTCTGTGCTTCGCAACAACAATCTCTTGACTTTTCATTCTGGTGCCATCTCTTTTGAAAGTTGGATCTTTTCTCATTTCATCTCGTCTCAGCGCATCGCAGCTTCTCTTGGAATTGCTCATTGCACCCCGTTGTCACCGCAGTCTGCGTCATTCCATCTCATCTCATGTCAGCTCATCTCATGTCTTCTCATCACTTCTCTCCTATGCTCACATCTTCTAACCCTTTCTCACATCTTCTCAGCTGATCTCAGCTCTTCTCACCTCATCTCAGCTCGTCTCACCTCACTCTCAGACTTCAGATCATCTCAGCTCTTCTCTGGCACCAAGCCTGCTCCAAAACCGGATCTCGGCGTCAAAGCCACAAAAAGTGCGATTTTGAAGGCTTCTTAAAGGCGATTTTAAAAGGAAAATGGAAAGCGCCAAAAACTAGAAACAATAATCAAAAACTCGTGGCCGCAACTTATGTGCAACAATTCCAATGCGATTTGCAAAAAGACCATAGGATTACGTGCGCGACAGGGACCATATCGCACCCGCCGCGCGGCAGACCTTCCCCATCCATCTTCAGAGGCACGTTTCCTGCTGCAAAACGCAGCTTTTCGCGCATCGGCTATCTCTCAAACACGCATTTTGTGCGACGCGTCCCCCAAAAAGAGAAAGTCCAAGCAGTGAAAACGAAGCCCCCGCGCGAGACATCCCTCAAAAACTGAAAGTTGAAGAAGTGGAAACGAAGCTTTCATGCGAGACGTCCCTAAAGCTGCAAGCTGAAGATGTCGAAAGGAACAATTCGTGCGAGGCGTCCCTCCAAAACTGAAAGTTGAAGTCGTGAAAACAAAGCGTTCGTGCGAGATGTACTTCAAAAACTGGATACGAATCTTTCGTGCGAGACTTCCCTCAAAAGGTGACAGTGAAAGATGTGAAAACTGCGCTTTCATGGGATTGTCATTGCACTGACTGTGATTGCAGTGGCTTTCACTGCAGTCACAATCACTGCGGTAACTTCAGTTACAGTGGCTTTCATTGCAGTGACTTTCGTTGCAGTGACTTCCATTGCAGGGACAACCGTTGCAGTGACTTTCAATGCAGTGGCTTTCATTGCAGTGACTTTCATTGCAGTGACTTCCATTGCAGTGACTACCTTTCCAGTGATTTCCATTGCAGTTGCAGTGACTTTCATTGCAGTGACTTCCATTGCAAATGACTTCCATTGCAGTGACAATCGCTGCAGTAACTTCAGTTGCAGTGACCTTCATTGCAGTGACTTCCATTGCAGTGACTTCCTTTGCAATGGCTTCCATTGCAGGGACAACCGTTGCAGTGACTTTCAATGCAGTGACTTTCATTGCAGTGACTTCCATTGCAGTGACTTCCTTTGCAGTGGCTTCCATTGCAGGGACAACCGTTGCAGTGACTTTCAATGCAGTGACTTTCATTGCAATGGCTTCCATTGCAGGGACAACCGTTGCAGTGACTTTCAATGCAGTGACTTTCATTGCAGTGACTTCCATTGCAGTGACTTCCTTTGCAGTGGCTTTCAATGCAGTGACTTTCATTGCAGTGACATCCATTGCAGTGACTTCCTTTGCAGTGACTTCCTTTGCAGTGATTTCCATTGCATTGCAGTGACTTTCATTGCAGTGACTTCCAATGCAGTGACTTCCTTTGCAGTGATTTCCATTGCAGTTGCGGTGACTTTCATTGCAGTGACTTCCATTGCAGTGACTTCCTTTGCAATGGCTTCCATTGCAGGGACAACCTTTGCGGTGACTTTCAATGCAGTGACTTTCATTGCAGTGACTTCCATTGCAGTGACTTCCTTTGCGATGGCTTCCATTGCAGGGACAACGGCAGTGGCTTTCATTGCAGTGACTTTCATTGCAGTGACTTCCATTGCAGTGACTTCCTTTGCAATGGCTTCCATTGCAGTGACTTCCATTGCAGTGACTTCCTTTGCAATGGCTTCCATTGCAGGGACAACCGTTGCAGTGGCTTTCATTGCAGTGACTTCCTTTGCAATGGCTTCCATTGCAGTGACTTCCATTGCAGTGACTTCCTTTGCAATGGCTTCCATTGCAGGGACAACCGTTGCAGTGGCTTTCATTGCAGTGACTTTCGTTGCAGTGACTTCCATTGCAGTGACTTCCTTTGCAGTGGCTTCCATTGCAGGGAAAACCGTTGCAGTGGCTTTCATTGCAGTGACTTTCGTTGCAGTGACTTCCATTGCAGTGACTTCCTTTGCAGTGACTTTCATTGCAGTGACAACCGTTGCAGTGACTTTCAATGCAGTGACTTTCATTGCAGTGACTTTCATTGCAGTGACTTCCATTGCAGTGACTTCCTTTGCAGTGGCTTCCATTAAAGGGACAACCGTTGCAGTGACTTTCAATGCAGTGACTTTCATTGCAGTGACTTTCATTGCAGTGACTTCCTTTGCAGTGGCTTCCATTACAGGGACAACCGTTGCAGTGACTTTCAATGCAGTGACTTTCATTGCAGTGACAATCATTGCAGTGACTTCCTTTGCAGTGGCTTCCATTGCAGGGACAACCGTTGCAGTGACTTTCAATGCAGTGACTTTCATTGCAGTGACTTCCATTGCAGTGACTTCCTTTGCAGTGGCTTCCATTGCAGTGACAATCATTGCAGTGACTTTCTTTGCAGTGACTTCCATTGCAGTGACTTCCTTTGCAGTGGCTTCCATTGCAGGGACAACCGTTGCAGTGACTTTCAATGCAGTGACTTCCATTGCAGGGACAACCGTTGCAGTGACTTTCAATGCAGTGACTTCCATTGCAGGGACAACCGGTGCAGTGACCTTCAATGCAGTGACTTCCGTTGCAGTGACTTCCATTGCAGTGACTTCCTTTGCAGTGGCTTCCATTGCAGGGACAACCGTTGCAGTGACTTTCAATGCAGTGACTTTCATTGCAGTGACTTTCATTGCAGTGACTTCCTTTGCAGTGGCTTCCATTGCAGTGACAATCATTGCAGTGACTTTCTTTGCAGTGACTTCCATTGCAGTGACTTCCTTTGCAGTGGCTTCCATTGCAGGGACAACCGTTGCAGTGACTTTCAATGCAGTGACTTCCATTGCAGGGACAACCGTTGCAGTGACTTTCAATGCAGTGACTTCCATTGCAGGGACAACCGGTGCAGTGACTTTCAATGCAGTGAAAATCATTATATTGACAATCGCTGCAGTGACCTTCATTGCACTGACGTTCAAAGCTCAACATGGAAGTATAGACTTTTAAAACTTCCTTTGACCACAGAAGGGTCAGAATTTCAGATTCGGACCATACTTGTTGGGCAAATAGGGGCATCGCGGCATTTCGGTGGAGCGCAGAAAGGGTTTTCGTGCGAGGGATTTAAGGCGTAAACCCGACATTCCCAACCATCAATGGACAAGTGAGAACCGAATGGAAAACAACACAACGCGCGCCGCGATCTGTAAAAGCTTTAGTATGCTTTAATCATAAATCTTGAACTAAGTTCTATCATGTTTTATGGCTAGCCCTGTGCCGGGCTCAGCTTGATTTGAGGATGCTTGGCATTTGCAAGAATAGAATGTCCTCCGACATGTTGAAACCATTTCAGACGGAGTAGATGTGAATCAAGAATTCAGAAACATATCATATCCCTACACTCTTCGACCCCGGGGGACCACAAAAATGTAAGCTACATTTCGGGAAGCCGTACCCCCATGATTTACAAAAAACCTATCTTTTTGTCATATATAAATAATTAGTCAGGCTCAAAACAGGAGAGTAACAGTAACACCTAAACATGTAGTAGTATCACAGTTTTAGCTGTCTCCATCTATGAAAAATCGCCGAGGATGAAGGCATGAAAATGTATGAAAATGTAATTTGCTCATCTGGGCAGAGCACATTTTGGATTTTACATCTTCAAACGCCCCGCTCCCACACCTACATACACCATGCTAGGGAGTCAACTGGAATTATGATGAATTATGTTCTGGGTGACCTTTTTCAGGTTTGCGGGGTCAATTTTTTGGGTTAATACAAGCATAAGTAAGTCATTCGAGAGGCTAAATCACCCGCAATCTCCGCCAAGTTATCCAAGTTATCCAAGTTGCCGAGAAATCATCACGGATCTATAGCCCATATCCCTCCAACTCCACTCATCTTGCGTTGGGACGGTCTCCTTGATCGTGTGTGCTCGCCGGTAACCGATTTCCTGCAGCTAAGGATCTGGGGGGAAGAACATGGAAGAACTGCACCTCCTAAAAGGCAGAAATAGGGAGAATAAATGAGAATAATAATAATAATAGCTATATAATCTCATTAATATTCATCATTAACAATTCAATATAGTAATGATAATATTATTATTATTAATCTCATTATTAATCAATGATAATATTCAGAATAATAGCTATATAATCTCAACTCAAAGAACCCTCCCGCCAGCTTTGACTCGTGTGATGGAGTGATTGTCTCCGACATTTGATGTGAATCTAGAGCAACCTTGCACCGACTAAGCAGGTCATGGATTTGAACATGTTGTTGTCTGAAGCACAGCTTCCCTTGCTACAAAATGAGATTGGGTTTTAACATGTTGCTGTCCGCAGAGCAACTTTCCTTGCTACAAAATGACTTTCGGTTCTCAAAGAGGTTTCAGTTTCAGCCACCCAACCACTAAAGTCTGATAAAAGGCGATTCCCAACCAGTTTCTACAACTAGTATGTGGTTGGGAAACTCCTGTTAGCTCCCATAGCTCCTTAGCTCCCTCCTAACCACTGGATAGACAAAATGCAGGGCCCACCCCCTTTTTTCTAGAAACCTCTCAGTCGGGGCTCAAGGCTTCCCATGAACCAGAACTGGAACGGGGATGGTCATGGGGCAATCTTCAGATAACACGCAGAAATCAACGAGGGGGTCACATCCGGATACAAAGCACTGCCAACATGAGCTGAACACAAGATATACAAACATTGCTATGACTCTATGACCTTTAATTCAGCTTACTCTGAAGAAATTTTAAAATTAGAACTTTTGTATCCCATGGTGCGCAGAACATTCAATCCAAGTCCAGAACATAACTCTTCTGTTGTACTGGTCCACGGGCTCTCCGTGCGTCGGCTGAACCCCAAACATGCTGCTTCGTTCCCTGTGCAAGACTGCGACAGTTTCCGTCGTAATGACATATACTGTGCAGTATACATATTTTTGCTCTATTGCGTGAGCCATGTCTTTTGCAAATGTTTGTTTAGCTTGGTCCGGTTGCGGCCAGTGCCATCTATCATCCTGGTGTGAAGGATTGTAAAGGTGGCCAGCTACGGACCCAAATTTTGGGGTGTGTTTGCGGCTACGGACCCCTTGTTTGGCAGCCGAGTTTTAAGAATCTTGGAAGGCGTTCTTTGGAAGCCTGGAACCCCGTATTTTTTGGTGGTTCCGCTAAAACCTGCCTTGAAATTGTCTGGAAACGTTGCCACCTGTTTCTTGAAACCTGATCCCAGAATCGTGGCTTGGCCTGAAATGTTTTTGGAAGCTTTGAGTTGGAACCGGGTCTCAAGGGAGCTAGTTTTCCGAGCTGCTAGTTGGAAATGCATGAAAATGCTGTCTTTTGAAGCCTACCTTCAGTGAAGCTTCAGAAGTTTTAGTTGCAAATCTATCAAATCTTGTCTTTGAGAACGCCCCTTTATTTACCTTTAGGCCTTCAACTCAGAAGCTTCCCAGCGGCTCCAAACTGCTCCGACTATGGCTGAAAACGCTGCGCATCTCTGGGCATCTCTGCATACTCATGGAAAGGGCAAAATTCGATTGACTTGTAATGCCAATCACGGGGTATCACCGCGCTAAACGACCAGGGCAGGCCATTGCTATAAGCACGACAAGATTAAGTTGCTGGCTAAATTGGTTTGCCCTCTCACTAAGGCGTTGAGCACAAGTGCGAACTTACGCCAGTGCTCCTTTTCCTTTCTCGGTTTGCGAACCCCTGTGCCCATGGGCTACGTAAGCCATCTCCTAACAGTTCCAACTGATCCCAAGTGTTATCTTCGAGTTCCACCTCATCCACCTCGTTTCTTATGCTTCTTGATACTTTCATGAGCATCCTGCATCATCCTGCCGCCCTGCCTTCGCGAAGGTGCGCTGGGGCTGACTTGCCTTGTCATGCTATTGACTTTCGACATCGCGTCCCCGACCAGCACCAAGCTTGCCGTTGAGGCGACGGAGGAGCTGAAGCGAGACCTTGGCCACCGTGATGTGATCCCATGATCCCATCATCATTGATGACGAGCTGCTGAATGGTTTGTGATTTGTCGTCCTTAGGCCCAGACCTTTGCAGGTGAGCCTCAGGGGCACTCAACATGTTCCAACTGGTGGAGTTGTAGTTTTCAAGCGTCTCCTGACGAGATTCAAAATTCAAAATGATTCAAACATCTGAGGCCCGGCCACTGAGATGCACAGTTTTGAACGTCAAACATGTCTTAAACATATTACCCTCTGGTTATGTCAAAATAGCTATTGAAAATGACCATTTATAGTGGATTTTTCCATTAATCATGGTGATTTTCCATAGTTTTTTGTATGTTTACCAGAGGGTAAACACATTTCAACGGAAGCTGATGGAGCACCTGCAGCACTGCCTCGGCTTTCGCCATGGCTTGCCGGAAGCCTCTGTCCACGGACACTTTCAGGCTGGCTTCAAAGGAAGCCCCAAAGACCTGGTTTCATGGTGACATATGGGTTTGTCTGAAAATAGGCTTAATATTCCCGCCATGAAATAGCAATTTTTCATAGGGATAATGATCAGCAAAACCATTGGGTTTAGGGGTTTAGCCTATTTTCAGACACACCCATATGGTGACGATGGCACGCGCAAAAAATCACACGGAACCGTGATTCAGGTGAATCTGCAAACCGTTTAATTAAGCAACATTCGAGTCTTGAAAAATCCAGTTGCAAGATGTAATTGAAATCCGCCCGCACTGAAGGTGCGAAGGAGCTTGGTCCGAGTTCGCGTTGCGTGCCAGCATTGCATTGCAATCACTCTAGGTACGAGGTAGGTACACCTTTTTGTTTCAGAAGCCTTCGTTTTCCACGGGTAAAAAAAAAAGAAACTCAATTGTAGGTGCCGGATGGTGCCGGTGCCCATTGCTAAAGGACCCAATGTTTCACGACCCAAAGGCAGCCATGGGATCGACGAAAACCGAAATCCGAAATGCTCAGCATTGCTCAGCCTTGTGGAATATCCGATAAATATCCTTAAATGGCCCAAACCAAACATATGCCCTTGTGGCTGTGAGACAGTCCTGAATTCCAGCTCTGTGCATCATGTGAAACAAACAACGAATGCAATTTCCCAACATCTGCCGTCATGTCAAATTTCCTATATTACCCGCAAATAAATGAAGCACTTTGCGAAACACTACAAGTGTCCTACAGTAGCAAGATTACACAGTTTTCTGCATTTGCATAAGAAAGAAAAACGGAAAAAATCGCGTAAGTAACTGCATGTACATGCAAATTGTGGACGTCCAACAACAAACCCTTGCACTTTATATAACCACAATGTTTTTGACAATACTATTACAACACATTTGTATTTACCGTGTTTGATGCTGCAACCTGCAAAACACACCGCAATTTCAAGAGCCTCTTTTACCCTGTTCAAATTTCCAAGTTTACTTTGGCGAACATACATAGCATACCATGCAGACCACAACACCCTCTATCATCACCATCACAATTAACACCTGAGTCCTAGGGTAGGTGACAAGGAAGGGTGAAGCGGAGCATGGGGCTAAGGTGGGGGTGAATCATGGGCAAACTTGGTGCAGTGGAAGTTGTCTCAGCAGAAAAATGGAAACTGCCGAAAGATCGTTTCCACGCAAATTGGTCTCTGATCCTCAGAATGGTGAAAACGTGTTGTCACTACATGTCACTACTGTATCAGTTTCAGCCGTATGAATGTTGTTTTCCGGTTGGAATTGTTGGAATCAGAAACGTGCGAGCCTCCTTGCAGGTAACAAGGATGTGAACACAATGTGTGTTTGCTTGGGAATGCGGACAAAACAAGACCGAGGCAAGGACAAAAAACACAAGGAATAAAACCGTTTGTTTGCTTCACATGTGATGCGAGGAGGCCGGCCCGGAGGGGGCGTTTTAAAAGTAAACAAACAAATTGCAAAGGGTTGCAGAACAAAAAACGAAGCGCCAGGACCTAGGAATTAATGCGGTGGAATTCGCCGGAAAATTCGCGTTTGGCGCTTGCTAAGCTAGTTTTAGTATATTTTAGTGAATACTTTGTAAATATACCATCCCACCCCCCACTGCTAACCTAGCTAACGCAGGATCCAGTCTTCGGAAAAAACCACACTGGCGAAGCACACCCCACGGGCAACTTTGAGCACTGCGTCTGACCCTGCCTCCATGGCCCGTGAGACTGCAGAGTGCACCTGCTTTGGACAGTGGGCGGGCGGTGGGCTTGTGCAAGATACTCTCTCAGACAAATACAAACACAAAAGACAGATAGTGACAGGATGGACACAGATAGGCACAAATAGATGGAACAAAGAGATGACTGGAAGAAAGCGAAATTCATGGAGACAAGAGATAGAGAGACACATCGAGAAACAGAGGGGTACGGATAGAGAAACGAAAAGACACAGATGGAGGCAGGCAAAGGAGATAGATGCAAAGACAAGACGAAGAGATAGATGGAATGGAGAAATGCAATGACATGGGTGGCTGGGGAGATTAACGGAGATCGACAAATACAGTAAAGACAAATCAAAGGTTGAATAAATAGCTAGTTGCAGCTATTTTGCTGGATGGCAAGGATAGAGATATAATTTTATAGGCCTAGGCAAACAAGTGGATAGAAATCTCGATAGCCAGCAGGCTGGCTTTTCAAGCAAGCTTTTCAAGCAGGTAGACAGACAGACAGGCAGGCAGGCAGGCAAACAGACACAGAGGGACACAGAGGGGCACAGAGAGCACAGACAGACACAGACACAGACACAGACACTGACACAGAGTGAGAGAGACACACAAAGACAGACAGAGACAGAAAGAGACAAAAAGAGACAGGCATGGGCAAGCAAAGGCAGACAGAGACAAACAGACAAACAGAGACAAGCAGGCAGGCCGGCAAATAGATAGATCAATAAACCAATAGATAGATACAAATGCAGATGTAAATATAAGAAAAATAAATAGAAAGCTGAAGGTAGATAAAGATCTATTTGGCATCTGAAGATATAGACAAACCTAGTTAGATATAGATGGGCAGAGATACTTACAAGCAAATATAGTTGCATGCAAACAGATACAAGCAAATATAGACTTAGATATAGACAGGTATAGATGGATATAGAAACGGGCCCGAATATATTTTATAGAAAAGTAAAAAAGAAATTAGGGTGCAGATAAGCGCTGTTGGGCCTGAAAAAATAGATACGGATAGCTACAGGGAAATAGACGAAGATTCAGATGTAGAGACAGATAGACAGATACACACAGTAGTATATCAACAGGCATAGATCGACACAGACAAAAAAGGAAACCATATAGATATGGAACAATATACATAGAATGAGATATAGATAGATGTAGTAAAGAACCATTAGTTAAATACAACATGGAATATAGATATGTCTGGGGATGAAGATCTAGAGATAGAAATCTAAAAAACGGATGTACATACATACAGACATACATACATACATGCATACATACATACATACATACATGCATACAGAAATACCTACCTACCTACCTACCTACATACATACATACATACATACCATTTAATTACATGATATTACATTACATTGCGTTGCGTGACGTTACGTTACATTATGTTAGGTTACGTTACATTACGTTACGTTACGTTACATTGCAGTACGTTGCATTACCATACATACATTACATAAAAATCCATACAATCAATACATACATACAATTACATACATTCAATACATACGTACAATACATACATAGAATACATACATATACTACATACATTTAATACATACGTACAATACATACTTGCAATACATACATACAAAACAATACATACAATACAATACAAAACGATACGATACAGCACAGTACAATACAATACAATACAAGACATTACATTACAATACAAGACAAGACATTACATTACAATACAATACAATAAATACAATACAATACAATGCAACGCAATGCAATGCAATACAATACATACTGTATACATACATACATACATACACTATACTACATACACTACACTACACTACACTACATTACATTACATTACATTACATTGCACTGCGTTACATTACATTACATTACATTACATTGCGTTACATTACATTACATTGCACTGCGTTACACTACATTACATTACATTACCTTACCTTACATTACATTACGTTACATTACATACATTCCATTACAACACAGTACATTACATTAAAAGTACATACATGGCATTACATACATTACACTACATTACGTTACATTACATTGCACTACATTACATTAAAACCAATACATTACATACATTACATTACATTACATTACGTTACGTTACGTTACATTACATTACACTAGGTTACATTACATTACATTACAATACATTAAATTACGTTGCATTAGGTTAGATTAGATTACATACATTACATGAAAAACATGAAAAACATCAGACACATTAATGCACCCACAATACACTTAAAAAAACAATGCATACATCCATACGTACATACATACATACATACATGCTTTCGTACATACATACATACATACATACATACATACATACATACATACATACATTACTTACATACATACATACATACATACATACATAACATTACATACATACATACATACATACATACATACATACATACATATATGCATACATGCATACATACATACATACCATTACATACCATTACATACCATTACATTACATTACATTACATTTCATTACATTACATTACATGACATTACATACATACATTACATAGGTATTTTCAAGCATACATAACATACATGCATGCATACATGCATACATACATGCATGCATACAAAGATCCATACCTACATTGCATACATTACATGACATGACCTTACATTGCATTACGTTACATTACACTAAAAGTACGTTACATTGCATTACATGCATACCATTACATTACATACACACCATTACATTGCATACATACCATTACATCACATACATACATACCACTACATAACATTACATTACGTTACGTTACGTTACGTTACATTACGGTACGTTACATTGCATTACATTACATTACATTAAATTACATTACATACACTACAAAACATTACAAACATTACAAAGGATTACATGGCAGTACATACATCCATACATTACATTACGTTACGCTACGCCACGTTACATTACATTACATTGCATACATTACATATATATATAGACATGGACTGGTGTGTAAATAAAAAGGTAGATACAGAAACAGAAAGATATATAGATAGATATAGGTAGAAACATGTTTTAGATACATATGGAAAGAAATATGTACTTAGTTGGCTAGCCAGCGAATGAATTAGTTAGTTAGTTAGTTAGTTAGGTAGGTAGGTAGGAGGTAGGTAGGCAGGTAGATAGGTAGCTACATCTGCATGTTGTATATTTAAATAGAGACAGGTAGAGATGTAGAAGAAATGCTGATATAAATATAGGACCATATGGGCAGACCTAGAGAAGATGAACGTAAGAAGAACTAAAATGTATTGATAAATAGACAGATGGCACATATAGATAAACGAAAAAATAGATAGATTTAGATGGATGTAAACAAACATAGGTAAATGTAGGTCGAATGCGATAGATATAGTGGATTATAATACAATGGAGTCATAAGAGGCCTGGATGGGCAGATGGAAGAACAGATTGGTGGATGGGTGTCTGTGGCTGGGTGGAATGACGGGTCAGGCAAAATCGGGATGGATGGATGGATAGGTCGGCAGGCAAACAACAGAAAGAAGTGCGACATGGATAGACAAGCGGTTTTTAAAAATGGGATGACATGTAAGACGTAAGAAGACAGATAGGTTTCCGGACGCATAGATGAACAGGTGGACAGGTGTAAAAACCGGACAGCTCCAAAAAGATGGAAGGCGTGATTGCAAGAACAAGGCCCCCGCCTCTCCGTCCACGTGATGCCCCCGAATAATCCTGTCCAGAAGGCCCTTGGCACCTGCGAGGAGACACGGTGAGACATGTATGATAAACCTTAAAAACACGCGCTTGCGATGCGTGTTCTTAACAGTTTTTGACACTTCACCTGGCATGGACCTTTGCGAGTGCCGGCATCCAACGCGAGCAGAACTGCCCAGGGCTTGGAGCACGCAACATGCCCAGCTTTTTTCATATTCTTCCAGGCGAGGTGTTTCATATACTACCATGTTTCGACACATGTCAGAACCATGCCTCATGGACATCCGTGTCCATGGGAGACCTTTTGCAACCGGGGCGCTCGTGTGGCCGCCGTGTCTGTCTCCCAAGTCTATTGATCCCAGCTCCGTTGACTCTTGTATCAACGCTTTTGGCTCCAGCGGCGGCTCTTTTTGCTCTTGCAGCTCTTTCAACTTGTGGCCTTCTGCTCCTTGGTGTGCCTGGTGTGCCTCCGTCTCCTGCCGCTCCTTCTGCTGGAGGTTCGGCAAGAAGCTGGGCCTGGCAGCATGCGAAACCAAATCGAAGCTGTCTCAATCAACAATCAAACGCGGTCCCAGATGAGCCAGCACAGATTGGTCAGAATATTTTTCTTGTGGAAGTAAACCATGCGAAGAGTGAAAAGTGTTAGGAAACAATTCACAATGACTTAAAAAGCGTTCAATCCAAAGCCGGACTCAACCACCTTAGGAATTTTAGGCTAGTGTCTCAGAGCTTTTTGGCTGCTCAATGGTGTTCACGACCTCCGGTGTCCAGCCCAGATCCTCCTGACTGAAGCAACATAGAGCCAGACCAAGCAAAGCAGAGTTTCTGTCGCGAACAAACGCGGACATCTTATCCGTCCATCTGTCTATTCCCTTTTGCATGCAACAAGCAACCCACAGCTCAAAACATACAAGCATACATGCAAGCAAGCACAAACCCCAACGATATCATCAAGCCATCCAGTTGTTTCGCATTTTTCAGTGCTATTCAATTCATCTACCAGCTGAGCTCTCACAGTTGCGACCCCAAATCGAATGGCAACAAATCACCGTTTGCAGCCATTCATGTTGACATATGCTTCCTTGAGACCCCGCCTATCTATGTCATTTTCTACCAATCTACCTCTATTTATCTCTATATGCATATGTTTATTTCTTCCAACCCGATGGCCCAACCTTACCTTTCCATCTTTCCCTGTGGTCCAGCTTAACTTGTCTATATTCCATCTTTCCTCGGTCCCTATGCGTTTCTTTCTTTCCTTCTGTCTTTCTTTTTCCCGAATGCGTAGCAAGGGTTCCCGTTTCACTCTGGGACTTTGAGGTAGCATATTATCAGATTCCAACGAAAAGTCGTAGGAAAACATGGGTTTTGAAGCTACAAAGTATCAAGTTTCGCACGAAATGCCCGTTTTGATGCTTCCATCTGTCTTGTCTCGACTGTCTGGTTTTCCTGTGGCCTCGCCGTGTCTATGCGGGAAGCTGCAAAACCTCTCCTTTCGAAGGTTTCCAAGCAGGTTGTCATGTCGTTTTGCGTGGCAGGCGTGGCACTTTGTGACATTCCAACCTGTTTGATAACGTGTCGAAAATCGTTTTGTGTGGCAGGCGCCATACTTTTGTGTCGTTTTCACCAGATGAATTGCAGTTTTCGTGGCAGGCGCACCATTTTGGCGATCTTTGTCGTCATTTTGCGTGGCAGGCGCAGCACTCCAGGCACCACACTCCACACTCCACACCCTACACTTTACCCTTCACACTTCATACTTCACACCTTACAGTCCACACTTTACACTCTACACTCCACACTCTACACTTTACACTCCACACTTTACACCCTACACTTTACACTCCTCACTCCACACTTTACACTCCACACTCTGCACTTTACTCTCCACACTCTACACTTTGCACTCCACACTTTACACTCCACTCCGCTCTGTACACTTTGCACTCCACACTTTACACTCCACACTGTACACTCCACACTCCGCACTCTACACTCCACACTCCACAAATTACACTTTACACTCCACGCTCCACATCCACACTTTACACTTTAGACTCCACACTTTCCACTCCACACTCCACACTTTACACTCCGCACTCTACACTTTACACTCCACACTTTACACTGTACCTCCATACTTTACAGTCTACACTCCACACCCCACACTTTAAACTCCACACTCCACACTCCACACTTTACATTCCACACTTTCCTCCCTACACTTTACACTCTCCTCTTTTCTCTCTACACTTTACGCTTCACACTCTTCTCTCCACACTCCAAACTCTACACTCCACACTTTACACTCTACACTTTACACGCTACACTCCACACTTTGCAATTTACACTCCACACTCTACACTTTCCACTCCACACTCCGCACCCTACACTTTACACTCCACACTCCACACTTTACACTCCGCACTCTACACTTTACACTGTACCTCCATACTTTACAGTCTACACTCCACACCCCACACTTTAAACTCCACACTCCACACTTTACATTCCACACTTTCCTCTCTACACTTTACACTCTCTTCTTTTCTCTCCACACTTTACACTCCACACTCTTCACTCTCCACACTCCAAACTCTACACTCCACACTCCACACTTTACACTCTACACTTTACACGCTACACTCCACACTTTGCAATTTACACTCCACACTCTACACTTTCCACTCCACACTCCACACCCTACACTTTACACTCCACACTCTACACTCTGCACTTTACCCTCTACACTTTACACTCTACACTTTACACTCCACACTCAACACTTTACATTTTACACTGCCCACTCCACACTTTACACTCCACACTCTACACTCTGCACTTTACCCTCTACACTTTACACTCCACACTCTACACTCTACACTCCACACTTTACACTGTGCACTCCTCACTCCACACTTTACACTCTACACTTTACACTATACACTCCACACTCTTCACTTTACACACTCCACACTTTCCACACTACGTACTTCACACTCCACACTCTACATTTTTCACTCCACACTCTACACTTTACACACTCTACGGTGTGGAGTGTGGAGTGCGGGGTGCGGAGTGCGGAGTGTGAAGCGTGATGTGGGGAAGTGTAGACAGTGGGGTGTAGAGTGTGGGATGTGGAGTGGAATTTGAAGTGCGCAGAGTGTAGAGCGCAGTCTAGACTGTAGAATGTGCTGCACAGAGTTTGCATGTGGAGTGTGCAATGGTGTACGGTGTAAAGTTTAGAGCGTGGAGTTCCTGGAGTGCAAAGTGTAGTGTGTAGAGCGTGTAACGTGTAGAGTAGAGTCCACACCTAAGGATGTGGAGCGTAGAGGGTGGTATGGTGCGGAATGTGAAGTGGTGCAAAGTGTAATACACATTGAAGCGTGGAATTTTAAAGTGCAGTGTGCCGAGCGTACATGTGAAGTGTAAGGCGTGGAATGTGGAGTGGTGTAGCAGAATGTGACGCGTAGAGTGTGTAGGGTGTGGAGTGCGAAGTGAGAAGTGTAATTAGGGCATGGCTTGTTCAGTGAGGAAGGTCCACCCAGCGTGGTGTGTGGTGTGTAGGGTGTTTGACTGTTACTGTTGTTGGTGTTGTTTGCTGCTTGTCAGGATGCGCATTCTTTCTGCGGATTCGTTCATGCGATCCGAATCGAACATGAAGCCAATGCTATGAAATTGTTGATGTTTCTTCGTGCAGATACATCTTTAGAAAGCCGCATGTGTGGACTCTAGCATGTTCACTCTGGTCTTGGTCCTTCCCTTTGCGGAGGGCACCTTCATATTCTTTCTATTCTTGCCTCTTGCATGTACTGGTCGTTCTTTCTGTGCCTTTGTTTCGGTTCCTCTTTCCGGCTCTCTCTTTGCTCATCAAGCTACTCAGCTACTTTCTTATCCACCTGTTCTGCTGCTATCCATCCCTCCGTTTCCATACACCAAGCTGGCCCTGCTCACAATCTTCCTTGCATGCCTTTCTTTCTCCACTATGCTACACAATTGTCTTGGCCATGTTACAAGTTGCTAAGTTCTGACATCATCAGCTGAGACTCACAAGGCCCATGTCCTGCACAGTTGTCAGCACGGGTCCGTCCGCTGCAGCCGCCGGTATGTAAAACTCAGGGTTGTCCTCCATATCCTTCATGGGGCGCTTTTGCCATTCATGGCGAAACCGCGAAAGAAGTTCAATCACTGGATTGCAGGCAAAATAAGCCACCCGCGGCGATAGTTTAAGGCTTCAGATCACAACATTTCATGGATTACTGCTGCGCTTGGCTTTGGGTCACAATCAACTCTGGGGTGGGGCCCTTTATGCGAACTTGCGTTGGGGTGGGTTTCGGCCCTAACCGCAATCATTAACGTTCACGGGGGTTTGAAAACAGACCAGATGCTCATCTTATCAAAGGAAGTTGGGAAGCAATCTTCCGAGCTACGGACAAATAGAGTTGTGAGAATCTACATCACGTAACAATACATTGATGAAGGGCGGTGTTAGGAAGCCGGAGCACGAAACCTGGTGGTTTTCCGTGTTGCGTTTTTTCCGTGTAAAGTGGCTGCAGCCGGCGATGAAAGGTACCTCCTGTGTGCAGCGGTTGCGGCTGGGGTTGTTCCGAGCGCAATCGGTTTCTCCTCTGTGTTCGGCAACGCGTGGTTGTTCCTGTGTGCGTAGTCCTATTCGTTTCTTGAATCTGTGGTTGCAGATCGTAATGGAATGGCTGCATGATTGTTGTCATCTGGTGTTGCCATGTGCGTAAAGAGATGCAAGTTTGCTACGTGATGCTGCAGCATGCATTGTAATGGCTGCATGAATGTTGCATGGGGCTTGTGTTGGGGAGGAAGCCGGAGAATGAAACCTTGCGTTTTTCTGTGTAAAGTGGCTGCAGCCGGCAATGAAAGGTACCTCCTGTGTGCGGCGGTTGCGGCTGGGGTTGTTCCGAGTGTAATCGGTTTCTCCTCTGTGTTCGGCAACGAGTGGTTGTTCCTGTGTGCGTAGTTCTGTTCGTTTCTTGAATCTGTGGTTGCAGATCGCATTGGAATGGCTGCTTGATTGTTGCCATCTGGTGTTGCCATGTGTGTAGAGAGATGCAGGTTTGCCACGTGATACTGCAAAACGCATTGTAATGGCTGCGTCAAGGTTGCTGGGCGCCGCGGCTGCATGCGTAATACTACTCTCTTTTGCGGCTGGCATCGTAAATCGTATTGGAGTGGCTGCATCAAGGCTACGACAGTGATTTGTCAGCAGATTTTCTCAATTTTGGCGCTAATTTTCCTTTTAAAACTCCTTGTAGAAAGTGCTTCAAAATCGTCTTTTTGCCGCTTTGGCGTCGAGATCCGGTTTTGGAGCTGCAATTTCCGACGCCGTTGCGCGTAGTTCTACTCTGTTTCGCAATTCAGTGTCTGCAGGTCGCATTGTAGTGGTTGCGTCAAGGTTGCTTGGTGCCGCGACTGCGTGCGTAATATTAGTGTCTTGTGCAGGTGGATCTCATAAATAATATTGGAGTGGCTGCATCAAGGCTGCGACAGTGATTTGTCAGCAGACTTTCTCGATTTTGGCGCTAGTAATTTTCCTTTTGAAACTCCTTTTAAAAAGTGCTTCAATTTTTTTTTGTCGCTTTGGCGTCGAGATCCGGTTTTGGAGCTGCAATTTCCGACGCCGGTGCGCGTAGTTCTAATGTGTTTCACAATTCAGCGCCTGCAGATCGCATTGTAGTGGCTGCGTCAAGGTTGCTTGGTGCCGCGGCTGCATGCGTAATACTACTCTCTTTTGCAGCTGGACATCAAAAAACGTATTGGAGTGGCTTCTTCAAGGCTGCGACAGTGATTTGTCAGCAGATTTTCTCGATTCTGGCGCTGTGTGTAAAGAATTTGCTGTGTGTAAAAGCTGTCTTTGTGCAAGCTTTGTAGTACAAAGTAGTACTGGGAAGTACTTTTTGCAAGCTTTGTACTGCACAGTAGTACTGGGAAGTAGTTTGTGCAAGCTTTGTGATACAAAGTAGTACTGGGACGTGCTTTGTGCAAGCTTTGTAGTACAAAGTAGTAATGGAACGTGCTTTGTGCAAGCTTTGTAGTACAAAGTAGTACTGGAACGTGCTTTGTGCAAGCTTTGTAGAGCAAAGTAGTACTGGGAAATTCTTTTTGCAAGCTTTGTAGTACAAAGTAGTACTGGGAAGTTCTTTGTGCAAGCTTTGTAATACAAAGTAGTACTGGAACGTGCTTTGTGCAAGCTTTGTAGTACAAAGTAGTACTGGGACGTGCTTTGTGCAAGCTTTGTAGTACAAAGTAGTACTGGGAAGTGCTTTGTGCAAGCTTTGTAGTACAAAGTAGTACTGGGAAGTACTTTTTGCAAGCTTTGTACTACACAGTAGTACTGGGAAGTGCTTTGTGCAAGCTTTGTAGTACAAAATAGTAATGGGATGTGCTTTGTGCAAGCATTGTGTTACACAGTAGCACTGGGAAGTAGTTTGTGCAAGGCTTGTAGTACAAAGTAGTACTGGGAAGTACTTTTTGCAAGCTTGTCCTACACAGTAAAACTGGGAAGTAGTGTGTGCAAGCTTTGTAGTACAAGGTAGTACTAGGAAGTGCTTTGTGCAAGCTTTGTAGTACAAAGTAGTACTGGGAAGTGCTTTGTGCAAGCTTTGTAGAGCAAAGTAGTACTGGGAAATTCTTTTTGCAAGCTTTGTAGTACAAAGTAGTACTGGGAAGTGCCTTGTGCAAGCTTTGTAGTACACAGTAGTACTGGGAAGTGCTTTGTGCAAGCTTTGTAGTACAAAGTAGTACTGGGACGTGCTTTGTGCAAGCTTTGTAGTACAAAGTAGTACTGGGAAGTACTTTGTGCAAGCTTTATAGTACAAAGTATTTCGGAAAGTCTTTTCTGTGTAAACGCATCTGTGTCTCAAGCCGCTGTAGGCAAAAACTTTCTGCGCCCAATGGTTTTTTTGTGCAAGAGACTTCTCTCTGACAGTAAGAGCTTTATGGCGTGCAGAACAGCTGAAATGAGTTGAGAACAACTTCGAGGAGATGAGAAAGGTTGATCAGTGCTCGGATGAGATGAAAACAGTTGAGAAAAACTTTCTTAGATGACATGTGAGAGGAGATGGAATGAGATGAGAAGAGCTGAGATGAGGTGAGAAGAGCTCACATGATCTGAGATGAGAGGAAGTGTGGAGTGTGAAGTGCAAGTGTGAAGTGTGAAGAATGCAGTGTGAAGTGTGAGGAAAGTGTTTGCTTGGCGTTGCATTGCGCCGGGGTCGTGTGCAGGTCATGTTCTTGGACAAAATCTGTGCAACAGCTTCGCACAAAGCACGCACGCACGGGCCTCGCTGGCGCGCGGCGCATGCAAATTCTATAGATGAAAATGGTCTTACAATATATCCCTAAGGCAACTTCCGCCCCGCCTCGTGCGGGTACTACTGGTATCCTTTTTCGAATCTTCCAATCGGATACGCAGCTACAGTTCACATGTGATGGGGCGAGGTGGGGTGCCACGCCGCACGGTGTCAAGACAAATGAAATCACAAGCCATCCGATTTCCCTTGCTGAAAGAACCCGCTTTGTGAATCTAATTGCGGAATCTTGGCGCGCATGGATTTCAATGTGGGCAGTGTTGGGCTATGCCTTGATTAATTAAGGGATAGTAAAGGGATAAGAAAACATAGCAGTAGTCAGGCGGGAATTTCATGGATTTCCATATTCAATGCCTGTCTCCGGGCACTCATGTCATGTGCACACTGTCGAAGGCCTGGGTCTCACTGTCTGACCGACTGCGTGTGCGCTGATTCTCGCCCGCGACTTCAGACGATAATCTAGCGCCAACGCCCAAGCCATCGCATACAACATCAAGACGTAGAGCCAGTTGAGAAAGTATCCGTATTATTTCCTGCACCCGAACTCGGCACATGCCTCAACTCTTAAGCTAAAAAGGAACATTACAAGACCCAAAGGCGGCCAATGCCATGCAAAACCATCGCAAAACCCATCTGCAATGGATTGAACGCGAAATACACGCCAACGGCGCAATACATCAAAGGACAGCATGGCTTGTTGCAGAAACTGACTAGCAAGTTCAGTACCCTGTCCTCCTGTGCGTCTAACGCTTGCAACATGTTGTATTTGATAAATCCTTGGGTTCAACGTGGCCGCCTCTCAACAACTGCAGAGCAAAGCGTTTCATTGCACCTGTAAATAGGTCACATGCATGGATACCAACTCAGGCACCAAAAATTCAGAGACGAAGCGATAGAAGGAAAATGAGGCGGGCAAACTCGAGAGCAAATCTGCCCGGCGCAACATCGACGCCGAGCAACTTGGAGCCGTCTTGGACTCGCGCACCCATCCTTACATCCCCACTTGTTCTGTAAAATTGGCCCTTCATCTGCAGGCGGGCGCTTTTAGTCTTTCCACTACCGTTTGCTTCACCCCGTTTCATCTATCTCTCATCTGAAGGAATCACCCAGCTTTATGGCCAAACACAAATCCTTTCTAAATTCACAGTAGCAGAATGATGTAGAACGAGCAGTGGGCTGAAGAACGAGAGTGTCTATGTAAAACCACGCATGCAAGCACGCGTGTACGTATATATGTACTGGTCTTTGCCTGCCTGTACGTATTGATGTAGAAAGGTTTTCACTAACGTTTGTATGTCTGGACGTTTGTATATACATATGTATATGTATGTATGTCTGTATGTATGTATGTATGTATGTATGTATGTATGTATGTATGTATGTATGTACCTATGTCTGTCTGTCTGCCTGCCTGCCTGCCAGTCTGTGTGTCTGCCTGTCTGGCTTCCTGTCTGAACCGGTATGTATGCGGCATCTACGTTTGAATTTTTGCACGCATGCATGCAGGCATGTTTGCATGTATCTAAGACAAATGACTGCATGCATGCATGCATGCATGTAGGCATGTATCTATGTATGTCTGTCCATCTGCCTGCCTGCCTGGACCGGTATGTATGCGGGCATGCAAGTTTGCATTTCTGTACGCATGCGTGCAAGCATGTTTGCGTGTATCCAAGACAGAAGAACGTATGCATGCATGCATGCATGCAGGCAGGGATGGATGGATGGATGTATGTATGTGTGTATGTATGTGTGTATGTATGTGTGTGCGTATGTATGTATGCATGCATGTATGTATGTATGTATGCGCGTATGCTTGCATGGTGTGTGCATGCATGCGTATGTGTATGCATGTGTGTTTGCGTACGTGCATGTGTATGTGCTATGTGATCAAGTGTGTATGTTCATTTGCTGCATGTGTTTGTGTATGTTTGTGCTTCTCTCTGTGCGTGCGGTTGCCTGCACGTCAGTGTAGGCATGTATGTGTGCATGCACGCGTCCATGTAAATCTGCAGGAATGTATGTGAAAAGGTTTCCGTGCAGCGCGCTTGCATATTTGCATGTCTGCGTGTATCTGGCTGCACGCATGCACACGCTTATTTTTGCATGTGTGTGTATGTGAATCAAACCCTGTTCCTAGGGGCTGTTCGTTTGCGCGGTTTTCTCAGTTAATGTTTGAAACAGGGGGGCTCCCTGACTTGTAACAGTGGCAGTCCAACAAAAAGGCTGTTACAAGTCACTGAAACGGATTCTGGACGCAGAATCCGCGTACCTGTTCCGAAGTGCAGAATCCCCATTTTTCAACTTTAGAGGAACCAGGTTATTTGTCCATCTTATAGCAAGGTGGCCAAGCCAAAAACCACCCATGTCGATTACGGCAATATAAGGCCTTAATGGGAAATTTCCCACAACTCACTTGAGTTATCAATCTAACCATCGACGACATGCGGTCTTTCAAAAGTGTGTGTGTGTGTGAACCATCTGTAAAGATGTCAAACTTCTTTCTTAGCAGGGGGATGGAGTGTGCTTCAGATGTCTCCATCCAACGAAGACGCATCTGTTGCACAGTGATATGGATTGGGGACGCTCAATCCACGTACCTGCTCAATCTTTTTCATTTTCGTCCATGGCAACCGGCCAAGCCTAGAACCGGCAAGTTGAATTTCAAACCGGCTTTCAAACCAAATTTGATTTTTGCCTGTACGGTTTTCGCAATCTGATTTACTGCTGACTTCGTCAGATGGAACAGTTGCTTCTAGCAAGGACGTAGAAAGAATCCTTCTTCACTGTTTCTCACGCCTAGTCATCCACTTTCTCCTGTCAGGTTTAAATGAAGTGTTTGTGCACGTGTGATGCATTCCACATCAGTAATTCGATAAGATGTTTCTGAGCAAGTGTGTCTCTCCTGCTGCATACGTCAAGTTGGCAGGAACCCTTTGGGGAAAGCCTTTCTAGGCTAAAAATGGACAGTAAACCGATGTCTGAATTTACACTTTTGAATTAGTAATTCGTCTAAGTAATGTGAACTGCTGGCCTTTTTTCCTGGTCTCACTTGTCGATGTCGATGCGTTGAACTGCTCGCCGCTGTGCCTGGCCTCACCTTTCTTTTGTCTGAATTTACACTTTTGAATTAATAATTCGTGTAAGTAATGTGAAACAGTCGGCCTTTTTTCCAGGTCTCACCTGTCGACGTCGATGTGTTGAACAACGTGCCGCTGTGCCTGGCTTCACCTTTTCTTTCATGATCAGGCAACAGGACATCCTTGCAGGTATGGTGCTTCTTTCTTTTTGGTCGTTGGTGAGGTTCAATTGTGCACCTAATTCAGGGGTTGAACACGTAAGCTGTCCAGAGGGTTGTGACTTGAATGCCGAGGGCCTTTGAGCCTTATCACGAATACTGCATGCGTTGTGGATGCATCATGTCATTAACTAGTTCCCCATGGGTCCCTTTTTCTTCCTGTTTCATGTGTTCTTGCGTTCTCCTCCCTCCAGGTAGGTTTGGCCCGTTGCGTGCTGAGGTTGTTGTTGGTTTGCGCCGTGTCAGGTTGGTTCAGGCGCTTCTGTCTTCCCCCTCCTCCGCTGGTCTTGTTCCATTTTCCGTCGGCCTCCGCTTTTCTTTTCCCTTGCCTTTCCAGGGTTGCCCGTTTTGGGCTAGGTTTCATGTGTTGGTGTTTTCTCCTTCCCTCTTCTTTTGCGTTCCCCTCTTTGCGTCCTGGTTAAGTAACTTTCATCTCATTGTCATCTTCACCTCATTTTCATTTCCTTTCTTCTTCATTTCCATCTCATGGTCGGGACCTTAATTTCTCACCCTCCTGCGGGAGGGTGTGTGTGTGTGAACCATCTGTAAAGATGTAAAACTTCTTTCTTAGCAGGGGGATGGAGTGTGCTTCAGATGTCTCCATCCAACGAAGACGCATCTGTTGCACAGTGATATGGATTGGGGACGCTCAATCCACGTACCTGCTCAATCTTTTTCATTTTCGTCCATGGCAACCGGCCAAGCCTAGAACCGGCAAGTTGAATTTCAAACCGGCTTTCAAACCAAATTTGATTTTTGCCTGTACGGTTTTCGCAATCTGATTTACTGCTGACTTCGTCAGATGGAACAGTTGCTTCTAGCAAGGACGTAGAAAGAATCCTTCTTCACTGTTTCTCACGCCTAGTCATCCACTTTCTCCTGTCAGGTTTAAATGAAGTGTTTGTGCACGTGTGATGCATTCCACATCAGTAATTCGATAAGATGTTTCTGAGCAAGTGTGTGTGTGTATGTGCGATTGTACATCCGTATGTTTGTGTATGTATGTCTGTATGCGTGCATGTGTGGGAAACCCTAGTAGCAGGGGCCAGAGCCTACCGCAAACGCAGACGCTCTGGCTTCCCTGGTGATATACAATGCGTACCTGCAAGACAGTTGCTATTGCCGGTTACTTTAATGAGGCTGCTTCGATCTGCTTCAGGTTTTGTCCGTTCCGAATGCAACTCTTCGCTAGGCTCACTTGATCAGACATGGCGAGGTGGCTAAGCCCAAAGCCACCCATGCCGCCACTAATCACTACGTAACATGATTTCAACTCATATCATCCTCTCCATTCGGGATGTTTCCAAAAATGTGTGTGTGTGTGTGAACCGTCTGAAGAGATGTAAAACTTCTAAATACTTTTCGCAGGGGGTAGCGGCAGATCACTTGGGACCGCTACCAACGAAGGCACCCATTTGATCTGGTGATACAGATTGGGACACCAATCTGCGTACCTGCGCCAATTTCTGATTTCTCATTTCTCGTCAATGGCAATCGGCTAAGCCAAGAACCGGCGTGTCGATCATTTGCATTGTTTTCCTGTTTTTACTGCACTGTTGTCGCAATCTGCAAATCTCTTTATTGAAAATTGAAGGGAAGGGTCAGCTTCCAAATCACTCTATTTAGCACTGGCTATGGCGATGGCAACTTTTACTGTTTTTCGGGTCCCATCAGTGACCTACTCCTGTCAGGTTTAAAGGGATTGTCTTTGCACGTAAGATGCATTCCACAATAAAATTCGCAATGACAGTTCTGAGCAAGTGTGTGTGTGTGTGTAAGTGTGTGTGTGTGTGTGTAAGTGTGTGTGTGTGTAAGTGTGTGTGTGTGTAAGTGTGTGCGTGTGTGTGTGTGTAAGTGTGTGTGTGTGTAAGTGTGTGTGTGTGTGTAAGTGTGTGTGTAAGTGTGTGTAAGTGTGTGTAAGTGTGTGTAAGTGTGTGTAAGTGTGTGTAAGTGTGTGTAAGTGTGTGTAAGTGTGTGTAAGTGTGTGTGTAAGTATGAGTGTAAGTGTAAGCGTAAGTGTAAGTGTAAGTGTGTATTTGTATCTCTGTATCTCTGTATGTATGCATGCATGCACCTGCGTGCATGATTACGCATGTACATTTGCCCAATGTGGTGCAATATAAGTACATGTAGATTTATCAAAAGATGCCGCCATCTTCTTAAGTAAACACAGGGGGAAAACGTGAAAGCGGACGAAGCATGCAGCTAGGGATCGACTTAGCGGAGCTATGAACTCTTGAGCTTCAATCGCGCCGCTTGCGTCCACATCGATCATTTCAAACAGCTGCTGCAGGTCCACCTGCAAGCTGCACGGCTTCAAGGAATTCAAACTTGTTGTAACCAATGTTGCCGGCACTTTTGCGTCTTCAAGAAACTTTTTCGGCAGTGATGCTAAGGACTATCAAGGGCAAAGCTGACAGACTTACGACGGACACCGCTCCTCCACCCTAACCCCTCATAAAATCCAGAAGCCGAAAACTCTGTGGAGTAAATGGATTAGGCAAGTCAAGCCGGCACTGCCACTTGCTGCAAGTGGATGAATGAGTTTTCGGCGTGTTTGACAGTAAGCCGAACCTACGTCCCATGCCACGGCCTCATCGATGTCCATGACTCTGAGCCGGCTTTGAAACTCAGGATCCCGACCTGAATCACGAGCCCTGCAGCCTTGCTGCACCTTAAGCCCAGAGTGAATGGATAAGACATGGATAAGACCTATACACAAATATTTCTCCCAGCGGAACTACATTGTCGCGCCAAAAACTACAGACAAAATTGTGCCAAATTTTCTAAGTACTTCACCAGAGTGGCAGCATGGTTTGTCTATGTTCTACTGACTAAAATCACTAAGATTATACACCAGGATGTTGCACAGCGCTGCACTATGTCCTCGAGTCTCCCTGCGGGCTCCATCCATCAGATCTTGCAATGTGAGTTCACCATTTCCGCTTTTGTCCAGGCGATTAAAAATCTTCTCCAAGAATTTCCTGCCAAGCGTAACAAAACACAATAGCGGGAAAAGGATCTGCCACGTGGACGAAATACAAATTGCAAATGTGAAGGCATACGCATATGAAAAAAGAATATGCACAACTTGGAAAAAGAACTAGACGACGGATGGCCCGAGAGCGTAGAGGAGCAGAGTCTTCTGTTGTTAGTATATTAGAAGACAATATATTAAAGATGTATAATAGGCAGACGAGAAGAGTAGTATCAAGACAATATATCACAAACACAAGACAATAGTTTGCATCGTATCTTTCGTAGAGTTTCTGCACACGCAGAACTTTTCACAGACAGACGTTTTTGCACACAGAGACTTTTACACACAGACGCTTTTACACAAAGAAGCTTGTACACACAGACGTTTTTACACACACATGCATTTACACACAGACGCGTTTACACACAGCAGTTTTTACACCAAGAAGCTTGTACACACAGAAGCTTTTACACACAGAAGCTTTTACACACAGGCCCTTTTAAACAAAGAAGCTTTTACACACAGCAAGAAGCATAGAGAAGCTTTTACACGCAGACCTTTTTACACATAGAGACTTTTACACACAGATGCTTTTACACACAGATGCTTTTACACACAGATGCTTTCAGACACACACGCACTTTCACACACAAAGGCTTTCACACCCAGCTTCTTTTACACAGAGAGACTTTTACACACAGACGCTTTTACATACAGACACTTTTACACACGGAAGCTTTTACACACAGACGCTTTTACACACAGAGACTTTTACACGCAGACGCTTTTACACACAGACGCTTTTACACACAGAAGCTTTTACACACAGACGCTTTTACACACAGACGCTTTTACACACAGACGCTTTTACACACAGACGCTTCTACACACAGACGCTTTTACACACAGACGCTTTTACACACAGACGCTTTTACACACAGACGCTTTTACACACAGACGCTTTTACACACAGACGCTTTTACACACAAACGCTTTGACACACAGACGCTTCTACACACAGAGACTTTGACACACAGACGCTTTTACACAAAGAAGCTTTTACACACTGAGACTTTTACACACAGAGACTTTTACACGGAGAGACTTTTACACACAGACGCTTTTACACAAAGAAGCTTGTACACACAGAGACTTTTACACACAAACGCTTTTACACACAGAGAATTTTACACACAGACGCTTTTACACACAGACGCTTACACACAGAAGCTTTTACACACAGACACTTTTACACACAGAGACTTTTACACAGAGAGACTTTTACACACAGACGCTTTTACACAAAGAAGCTTGTACACACAGAGACTTTTACACAAAAACGCTTTTACACAAAGAAGCTTGTACACACAGACGTTTTTACACACACATGCATTTACACACAGACGCGTTTACACACAGCAGTTTTTACACCAAGAAGCTTGTACACACAGAAGCTTTTACACACAGAAGCTTTTACACACAGACACTTTTACACACAGAGAGAGACTTTTACACACAGACGCTTTTACACACAGACACTTCTACACACAGAAGCTTTTACACACAGACACTTTTACACACTGAGACTTTTACACACAGAGACTTTTACACAGAGACGCTTTTACATACAGACGCTTTTGCACACAGACACTTTTACACACAGAAGCTTTTACACACAGAAGCTTTTACACACAGGAGCTTTTACACACAGACGCTTTTACACACAGACGCTTACACAGAGAAGCTTTTACACACAGACACTTTTACACACGGAGACTTTTACACAGAGAGACTTTTACACACAGACGCTTTTACACAAAGAAGCTTGTACACACAGAGACTTTTACACACAAACGCTTTTACACACAGAGAATTTTACACACAGAAGCTTTTACACACAGACGCTTTTACACACAAACACTTTTACACACAGAAGCTTTTACACACAGACACTTTTACACACAGAGAGAGACTTTTACACACAGACGCTTTTACACACAGACACTTCTACACACAGAAGCTTTTACACACGAAAGCTTTTACACACAGAGACTTTTACACGCAGACCCTTTTACACACAGATGCTTTTACACACAGACACTTTTACACAGAAACTTTGACACACAGACGCTTTTACACACAGAGACTTTGACACACAGACGCTTTTACACACAGAAGCTTTTACACACAGAGACTTTGACACACAGACGCTTTTACGCACAGAGACTTTGACACACAGAGGCTTTTACACACAGAAGCTTTTACACACAGAAGCTTTTACACACTTCGCTGGACAACTTGCAAATCGCAATTTTACCTCAGCGTTTGGCGATCGAACCTCATTTCGTGCGAAAGGGTTGCGCCCGGACAAGTGAAATCGCAATTTTACCTCAGCTTTTGGCGATCGAACCTCATTTCGTGCGAAAAGGTTGCGCGGGACGCCTTGAAATCACAATTTTACTTCAGTTTTTGGCGATCCAACCTCATTTCGTGCGAAAGGGTTGCGCCGGACAACTTGAAATCGCAATTTTACTTCAGTTTTTGGCGAACGAACCTCATTTCGTGCGAAAGGGTTGCGCCCGGACAAATGAAATCGCAATTTTATTTCAGTTTTTGTCGATCGAACCTCATTTCGTGCGAAAGGGTTGCGTTTCGTGCCGTCTTGTTGGCACTGCCCCGCGCCTTCAAGAGAGAAATAGAAAAGAAGGAGAGAGCAAGAGGGCAAGAGAGCAAGAGGGCAAGAGAGAATGTGAAGGTGTGAAGATGAGAAGATGTGAAGATGTGAGGATGTGAATATGTGAGGATGTGAAGATGATGAGGATGAACAGATGTGAAGATGAGCAGATGTGAAGATGAGCAGATGTGAAGGTGAGAAGATGTGAAGATGAGAAGATTTGAAGATGAGAAGATGTGAAGATGTGAGGATGTGAAGATGTGAGGATGTGAGGATGTGAGGATGGGAAGATGTGAAGATGTGAGGATGTGAGGATGTGAGGATGAGAAGATGTGAAGATGTGAGTATGTGAAGATGAGAAGATGTGAAGATGAGAAGATGTTTTACAGACCCCCACTATTGGAAGAACCCTGCGCTCAGACGCTCTCGGGAAAAAAGGGAAAAAGAAAAATCTACAAAGGGAGAAAGGCAAAGAGAGAGAACGAGAGAAAAACTACGGGAAAAACGAGTAAGAAAAGGACAAACAGAGGGAAAGGGAGAAAAAGAAGGCAAGACAAAGGGAGAGAGGGAGATCCAAGAAAGAAGAGGGAAAAAGAGAAAGAGAGAAAGCAACCGGAAGGGACAGGGGGAGAGAATCCAAGAAGGGAGGAAGGAAAAAGCGAAAAAGAAAAAAGCGAGAGAAAGGGAGGGAGAGAGATCCACGAGAGAGAGAGAGGGAGAGAGAGAGAGAGAAGGCCTGCGTTGCGTTGCATTGTGTTGCACGACACGACGCGACACTACACGACCTTACACGCATGCATACACAGAACACATACATTGCAGACATTGGAGGCATGTACGTGCATCCAGATACATACAAGAAATACACTAGATACATTGATACACTGCATTGCACCAACCTGCATTGTATTGCATTACATTGCACTGCATTGCGTTGCAGAGTTTCCACTACATGCCCAGAAACATACTGCACGCATCCATACAGGCATGCATACATGCGTGCACATATGTATGCAAGATGACCGTCGACAACAGCGAAGATAATACCATAGTACCGCACAAGGCGGTGGCGGAAGTTTCAGAATAGGAAACCTATAGGAGAGCTTGGTTGTTGTGAATCACGGATGGCAGAGCGAATCTACTGACGGGCTGACTGAAAGCTGGTTGGAGCTGTGTTTTTTGGAGTTGTTGCAATGGTTGCAGTGGTCACCTACTGCTGGATGTAGTGTGGTGTAGCGCAGCTGTAGTGGTGTAGTGTGATTAGCGTAGCGCATTTGCAATTGCATGTGTGGTGATGTAATGAGTGTAGTGTAATGTAATGTAGGGCAGTGTAGTTGCGTGCAGCCTAGGGTAGCATAGTGTAAAGTAGCGTAGCCGTAGCTGTAGTTGTAGTTAGTGTAGTTGTAGTTAGTGTAGTGTAGTGTGGTGTGGTGTAGTGTGGTGTAGCCCAGTGTAGTGTAGAGTAGTGTAATGTAATTAGTGTAGTGTAGTGTAGTGCAGTGTAGTGTAGCGTAGTGTAGTGTAGTGTTATGTACTGTAGTTGTAGTTGTTTTGAAAGGTGTAGTTGTAATTGTAGCTGTGCTTGTAGTTAGTGTAGTGTAGTGTAGTGTAATGTGTTGGAGTGGGGTGTAGTGTGATGGGGTGTAGTGTAGTGTAGTGCCGTGTAGTGTAATGTAATTAGTGTAATGTAATTAGTGTAGTGTAGTGTGGTGTAATGTAGTGTAGTTGTAGTTGTAGTTGTAGTTGTAGTTGTTGTTGCTGTTGTTGTTGTTGTTGTTGTAGAGTAGTTGTACTGTAGTGTAATGTCGTGTAATGTAATGCAATGAAATGTAATGTAATGTAATTAGTGTAGTGTCGTGTAGTGTAGTGTAGTGGTAGTTGCATTTGTAGTTGTAGTGTAGTGTAGTGTAGTGTAATTGAGTGTAGTGTAGTGAAGTGGAGCGTAGTGTAGTGAAGTGCAATTAGTGTTGTGTTAGTGTAATGTAGTACTAGTTGTAGTAGTTGCAGTCGCAGTCGCAGTCTCAACAACAAGTAGTAGTAGTAGTAGTAGTACCAGTAGTACCAGTAGTACCAGTAGTACCAGTAGTACCGCACAAGGCGGTGGCGGAAGTTTCAGAATAGGAAACCTATAGGAGACGTTGGTTGTTGTGAATCACGGATGGCAGAGCGAATCCACTGATTGACCGAAAGGTGGTTGGAGTTGTGTTTGCTGGAATGGTTGCAATGGTAGCAGTGGTCACCTCACCCACAACTGCTGGATGTAGTGTGATGTACTGCAACTGTAGTTGTAGTTGTAGCGTAGTGGAGTTGTAGTTGTGGTGTAATGTAATTAGTGTAGTGCAGTTGCAGTCATATAGTTGTAACTAGTTGTTTTGTAGTTGTAGTTGTAGTTGTTGTTGTTGTAGTTGTAGTTGTTGATGTTGTTGTTGTTGTTGTAGTTGTAGCTGTAGTTGTTGTGTGGTTGTAGTTGTTGTGTAGTGTAGTTGTAGTAGTAGTAGTAGTAGTTGTTGTTGTAGTTGTAGTTGTTCCTGTAGTAGTAGTAGCAGTAGTAGTAGTAGTAGTAGTAGTAGTAGTAGTAGTTGTTGTTGTTGTTGTTGCTGTTGTTGTTGTAGTTGTAGTTCTAGTTGTAGTTGTAGTTGTTGTGTAGTTGTTGTAGCTGTAGTTGTTGTAGTTGTAGTTGTTGTGGTTGGTGTTGTTGTTGTTGTTGCTGTTGCTGTTGCTGTTGTCGTCGAAGTTAGGGTAGTTAAGTTGGTGAAGTTAGTTAAGTTAGTCAAGTTGGTTAAGTTAATCAGTGTCTACTTTTTCGACATCTTCACGTCAAAAAAGGCTCAAAACCCTCAATTTTTTTACACTTTTGACTTCGAAATGTGCTTCGCGCGACAACCGCGTGCACTTTTTCGACACTTTTTCGACATCTGAACCTCCAAAAGTGGTCCGAGAATGGTGTGTTTTGCACATTTTGACTTGGAAATGTGCTTCGCGCCACAACGGCGTGCACTTTTTCGACATCTCAACTTCCAAAAGTGGTCCGGACCTGGTGTGTTTTGTACATTTTGACTTGGAAATGTGCTTCGCGCCACAACGGCGTGCACTTTTTCGACATCTCAACTTCCAACAGTGGTCCGAGACCGCCAGTTTTTAACACTTTTGACTTCGAAATGTGCTTCGCGCCACAACGGCGTGCAATTTTTCATCTCTCCTGTGGCCAGCTGGCTCCGCACCCGCCGCTTTAGCGAGCCTACTTTTCGACCCTCCGGAGCCACAAGTCATTGGAAAAACACAGTGTTTCGCGACTTTCCTACCTTTTCGCGCATCTGCATCTTCTGTCTTCTTACTCTTTCTCTTCTACTCTTCTTTCTTCTAATCTTTATCTTCTCTATGCCTCTTCCCTGCTCTGCTTTTCATCTCTCCATATCGTCGGAAGTTTGACTTCTAAACTTCCTTCGAGTAGTAGTAGTAGTTGTTGTTGTTGTTGTTGTAGCTGTAGTGTAGTGTAGTGTTGTGTGGTGTGGTGTAATTGAGTGTAGTGTAGTGTACCAGTAGTGTAGTGTAGTGGAGTGTGATGTAATTAGTGTAGTTTAGTGTAGTGTAGTTGTAGTTATAGCAGTAGTTGTAGCTGTAGCTGTAGTTGTACGTAGTTGCAGTGTAGTGTAGTGGGGTGTAGTGTAGTGCAATGGTGGTTGAAGTTGAAGCTGCTACAAAACCCTCACGTTTTGCTGACTTTGGGCAAAGTGCAGAATCCCTTGCGCCTGCCACGCAAAACGACACCGGAACGTCCAAAAGTGCTCCAAACCCCTGTTTTTTCGCGCCACAGCGGCGTTCACTTTTTCGACATCTCAACTTCCAAAAGTCGTCTGGTGCTAGTGTGCTTTGTACATGTTCACTTGCAAATGTGCTTCGCGCCACAACGGCGTGCATCTTTTCATCTCTCATCCCGCCAGATGGCTCCGCACCCGCCGCTTTAGTGAGCCTACTTTTCGACCCTCCTGAGCCACAAATCATTGGAAAAACACAGTGTTTGGCGACTTTCCTACCTTTTCGCGCACCTGGATCTTTCTTCAGACGTTCTCTTCTTTGATCTTGTTTCTTCTTTCCTTCTCTTCTCTGACTCTTCCCATCTCTGCTTTTCATCTGTCCATATTGTTGGAAGTTTGACTTCTAAACTTCCTTCGGCAAGACTTCCTTCGATAATGTATCATGACCGGCAGCAGAACCATGTATGTTCCCTGACAAGCGCATGCGCCATTTGTACTATTGTACTGGTGTTCCTGGAGCGGGATTGCCTTGGAGCGGGAAGCGAGATGTCTCATCCATGCTCTCAAAGGAAAAGCGATATACAAACTACAGGGGGGTTGCTGGTGCTTGCCTAAAAGTAGTCAATCAACCCAACTATTTCCAATCGTTGGGTTTCAACTAGTTGCAGCGCTTTCGTCTACAGCCCTCCCTCACCTTGCCTGTCTTTCTTGAGGTTGTGATCCAACCTGGCAAAGATGGTGATCCATGACACAGAAGCAATCTCACAGCAGGCTGCCGCACATCCAACAAAAAAGTCCCCAAAATCAAAAAACTCGCGTCCGCGCATCTTTCAAACTTGTGCGCGCCAAGCGGTTCTACATGTAAAAAACATACGCAAACATGACAAAATGAAAATGGAAGGCGAAAGGGAGGCAGGAAGGGAGAGGGAGGGAGACGGGTAGAGAGAGATAATACAGTGGGAGCGAGAGAGCGAAAGGGCGAGAGAGCGAGAGAGAGAGAGAGAGAGACAAAGACGAAGACAGAGACAGCGAGCGCCTGCATAGGAACAATCACTGCGCGCTTTTGCAACATGACTGCACACAAAGGCACGCCATTCTCTCAAGGGAAAACTGTTATGGAACCCTCGCCCATCGCCACAACACCGGCCGCGAAAGGAATGTAAAGCATTGTGATGCGCGGCATGGAATGCCTGGATTGAATCCGTGTCTGCCCGGAAACGCGCAAACACTGAGCGCACATCCGGCAAATCCTGACGCGCACGCGCATGTGCGAATTGCGCACCTGCACGCGTACTTGAACGTGACCGGCGCAACTTATTTTTCAATTCAGACCGCTCTCTTGCACCTGCGCCGAACACAACCAGGCAGTGGTGTCTTGCCGGGGTGCCGCTATAGTTCTGAATGATTACTTGCTGCCATGTGGCTCTTCTGCCAAATTCATCACGTCGCTCTCTCTCACTTCTGCGAACGTGTCGACAACTACAGCGACCTCAGCTATGCTAGCCGGCAGCCAACCTGCACGTTTCTTCCATGATGAAAATACATAACACTTGAGCACACATTGGAACAAGCTCCGGGTCCTTCGCATCGTTTTTTTACCCGATGCTTTAAAATTTTAAGTTTCAAAATATTTACATGCATCGCCAAATCTTCGGCCATGTATTGGAACACATGTCTGACATGTAATCTGCCCCTTTTCGGGTAAACTATGCGACGGATGCAATAAGCACCAAATCGATGCACGGCGCCATCAATGATCAGCATGCCACCAAAACTGAAATAATCCCTTCCCCCTATTACCAAACCACCCACATAATAAAACCTAGGGTCCGTCTCCAATTTCGGAAAATTTGAGGTTGGCCACTTTGACTTTTAATTGATCCCCTTTCGAAAACAAATTGAAGATGAAGGTACAATTTCAGGGCTAAAAATACAAACTAGTCAACCCCGAAGTGTTTTCTATTAAGCTCCGCTTTTTAAGGTCAAAAAAACATATGTTAAACTTGTTTATTTCATATTAGGAAAGCTTCCATATCCAATTTAGCTTTAATTTCTCATCGATTTTGAAACAGAAAAGAAAATAGCTTTTATATTAGGGCCAGCTTCGTTGGATCAGGTATGATCAGGTCAGTCACTGGAAGCCTGATCCCCCTGCTCTAATTGAACTATTGTAATAAAATCGTATGAAATAACGTGTTTCACACACACAAGCCCCGTTGAGGCTGGTGACAAAAAATGATCCCAACCGCGCAGTTCAGATGTAGTCCCACCTTTCCAAGCTAAATTGCATATCACCGTCGGCTATTATACTGTATACTGTATATTAAGCACGGGTCAAACGTGTGTAATTTCAGACAGAATGCCACTGAATCTTGCACAACTTGGTGTCTGTCAGATTCCCAAATTGCTCACTGCAAGCTGTTCCTGACCTGCAAAGCTTTTCTCCAGTTTTCACTTGTTTTTACTGTTTTTCTTGAATTTGGTGATTAAGTTTAATTTAATTGTAGCCAAGTGGCCGGGGGTTTAAGGGGAGGAAAAGGAACAATTTTTTGGGCCTCCAGCTGCGATGCCGCGCCGAGGAGCACCCAGTAAAGAGAGGGTGCGAAAGGAGAAGGAATGGCGGTCCCAGCTATGCGTGACACGGCATCCAAGGACCTGCCACAGGAAGAGAGGACTCCCAGCTATGCTACGCATCCAGAGACGTACCCGGGAAAGAGGAGACAAAGCGTGTACCCAGCTACGCGCCTGCGCCCAAGGTCCCACCCAGCATTCCACTATCCACCGGAGCGGCCGGTGACCAGATCTAGACCCGCACGAAGCAGATCAACGGTGCCCACAAGTCAGTGAGTGCACCCAGAACACACTGCTTCGGTTTTTGGTTGGCGAGGAAAGTAGAACTTCTGGCCGCCTTATGCCTAAGTGCCTTCAGGTCATGGTATGTCAATCATGGCCGAACATCACGTAAATTGAACCTGAATACCTGACCAACCTATACTTGACAGCATGAGAAACAGCTCCAAACGAAGCAATTCAAAATGAAGCAGGTACATGGCTGAGCGTCCTCAAACCACTTCCCTTCCAGTGACCCAGCTTCGTTGGATTAGGTCAGTCGCTGGAAGCCTGATCCCTGCTAGAGTTGAACTATCGTAATAAAATCCGTAAGAAATAACGGGTTTCAAACAACACACACATACACACACTCTTCCCTTCACCCGTAATACGGCCCACTTCACCAGCAGGCAACATTCCGCACACACGGAGTGTTTCAGGGGTGCGGTAAGATGGGGCGGGGCAACCGCAACCTCATACTAAAATTAGGGCCCGGCTTTGGAAGAAAAAACGGTGGCACTATAGGTCCTATGTGTGTATATATATATACACCAGCAGCTCAGGCGTAGAAAGCACACGACGTGACACGACAGTGGACGGGTGAGCAATCCTACCAATTGCCGAAGCGCAGCTTCGGGAATCAATTTGTACCACTGGCCTGCCTTGAGGGAACAACAGTACAACATATCACAAACTCACATCCACACATGCAAAGCAATTATTGTTGCAAGCGGGTTGTAGCATGTTGAGGCTTTGTTTTCTGTCAGTGGGGGTTGCATCAGCAAGCAATCGCCCATAATTGCCCGACATGAACAGTGCTCCGCATTCGAAGAAATCTTTGACATTACACCAAACGCCCTTCCAGGCGGTGACTTTTCCCCACATTAACAAATTTAATATATTGTAGCTTGTTTTCAATAATTCGAAATGAACTTAGGTGAAATCGTTTGTAAACGAAATTAGTGTGAGGTCGTTGTCGCGCACGCCAGAGTATCAAATACGTTGGGCGCGATTTCCCCCCATAGCTGCCCACAGCAAACAAGAATTAGCAGCCAGAAAGCTGCGTCAAACACAACACGGAACTGCTCCTATTTTGACGAAACAAGGCCGTTTTGTTTCCTTCATCCCTGAGCTTGTTTGGAAAGCCATACCGGGCAAGCACAGTAGCATTCATATTTTGACGAAATAGGACCAGCTTGTTTTCTTCATACCTGGCCCAGTTTGGCGCAGTTTTCGGCCATACCCGCACAAAACGGCCAAAGTCAGGAACCAGAAAGCCTTACCGAGCACAGCATGGTGCCTTCCCTGCTTTCACCGGAGAACGCACATACAAAAACAGTCCGCACAAACCAGGAATGAATCGCACCTCTGCGCGGTCGAAGGGCTCCGAGATGGAAGTTGCATCCGGACGCTTTTTCATTCTGCTCCAGCTCTGGCTGGGGGAGGGGGGCCAAAGCGATAATTACCTGTGATTACCTGCGACAAAAGCTTCCCCGCTGGCACAAATGTCAAAATCAAAAAAACGCCCTACATCTTCAAAATAGATTTTAACTCTCGCTGCGCTCCCGAGCCCTTGCGGCGCACTTTCCCGCCATAGCGGCCCAAGATGAACAAGAATTTGCAGCCACACCAAATTTCCTTCATCCCTGAGCTTGTTTGGCGCGGTTTCCCATCGCACCCTCCCAAAATAGACACAAGAATTGGAAACCAGAACGCCATACCCAGCAAGCACGGTAGCATTCCTATTTTGACGAAATAGGACCGGTTTGTTTTCTTCATACCTGACCCTGTTTGGCGCGGTTTCCCGCCATACCTACTGAAGATAAACAAAAATCACTAATTACCTCAGATGGTGTTGACGAAATAGGAAGCTTTTGTTTGGCGCGGTTTACCGCCATAGCTCCCAAGCTACAGGTTTTCAACAACATGCATTTCTTTAGGTTGAATCCAAAACCATGGAGAAATGCTGCCCTTTCCAATCTTAATCGCCGGTAAAAGGGACGGTTGGATAGGCATTAATTTCAGAACTGTGTCGTTAATTCAAGGGTGACATCGTGATGTCGACTTAATTTGTACAATTATTGCGTAGGGTTCTTGTTTGTCCGCCCTGTACCCGGCCGCCGCCTCCTCCTCGTCCTCCTCCTCTCCTCCTCCCACAACTCTTTCACACACACAACTTTGCCACACACAAATCTTCCACACACTTGCTCAGAACTGTCATTGCGGATTTTGTTGTGGAATGCATCTTACGTGCAAAGACAATCCCTTTAACCTGACTGGAGTAGGTCACTGAAAGGACCAGAAAAACAGTGAAACTAGCCATCGCCATAGCCAGTGCAAAGAAGAGTGAATTGGAAGTTGACCCTTCCCTTTCAACAAAGCCATATCGCTCCCAACTTGACAGATTGCGACAACAGCGCAGCGACAAAGCAAAATACGACATGGAGCTTCTTGGGTTGGGCCTCTTCCTGCCAAATTTCACAAATAAGGGTTTTGCTTGCAATTAAGGTAGGGGGTCTGCGATTAAGGGTGTCTAGCCTTTCCCAAGACCTTTGCTTGATGCATATCTCCCAACAACATAATCAGACAATGATGCCAGAGAAAACTTGAAAATGACCCGTCTTAATGACCCTCAACTAGCATCACATTGACAGCCAGAATGATCATCTATTCTATATCTATATAAATATATATATATATATGTGTGTGTCAAACATCATTGAAAAGTATCAACAAAAAACGACGTGAGATGATGTGGGTGCGCAGAGTACTATGCCGGCAAAACATGTCCAGAGTCAAGTTGCTCGGGCAACAGCAAATAATTTAACCAGTTGCCAGGAAGAGCACAGAAGGGAAGCAACAAGAATTGCAAACAAACGGGTCTGCAATACTTCCGAGATATTCCAGGGAGATTTCACTGATTGCCAACGTCAACAATTTGCTTCATCCTAGTGTTTGTCACATCCTCCACCCTCCAGCAAGTGCAGAAAACTAAGAGTTTCATATTCTGGTTGGGCCACCGTCGGCTTCCGGACTTGGGTTATCCTACTCACCCAATTGACCCAAACTTGTTTGCCCGCGAAGCAGAAACATGTGCAGTGGGAAAGGTACAAGTTGCATTATCAGAACAACAATATACAGCACTTTTCTCTTCAAAAAACACAAAGTTGCAGACGCTAGCTTTTCGAGCTGGAAAAAAATATGGTGAGCGAAGAATCCTTTCCATATTAGGGAGGCAATTGACAAAAGGTAGGCTACGCTCCAACAAACGCGAGATACAGCAGTGCAATGGCGATTTGTGGCAGAGAGCCAAACAGCCCCAGGATCATTCGTCACAATGCACAAAAATAAATTGATTTCATGCCGACAGCATCGCTGCTCATGATGATGTTCTCCGCCTCGATTGACTAATGCAAAAACAAGAGATGAATACGAAGGCACGAAAAACCCACCCCAAACAAAAAATAACATCGATCCCACAGGCCAGGCATGGGAGTTTGCCAGCAAAGCAATCCACTTTCGCCCCATAATTTCACTTACAAGAAATGCAAAAGAGAACGCCCAAAATTACCATTAGTAAGAAACAGAAACAGTTAGGGGACATCCTCAAGAATGCTTCAAAAAGTCGTTGCGAGCCAGAAATTCCCTATCACAAACTTT